AACCCTAATAGAAATTTGTTTCTAAATGCCTCAGGAACCATACTACGTAGTCAAAGTGCCGAAATATTGCACTTTGCAAGCGCAGTAGAATTGACATAGGCGGCTAATGTACGTATCGCAATGCTGAAGCTATGAGGATTAGTTTTTTCAGTGATTATTCCTCCGTGGCAAGTCCGATTTAAAATTTTTGTTTCTATGCTATCTGGATGTACATACGCATGCGCGGGCAAAATTTGATGAGAATTGGTGTAAAACGATGTATATCCACAATGCTATAGGTGCAATGTCATTGCAATTTATTCAAAGCGATAAAATCGTACCAACGTACCTGCACCTTGTATTTATAAATGTCGATACTGTAGGAAACTGCATGAACATTACAAGGGTACCACCATAGACGAGTCACTTATATCGAGACTAATATTTTTAACTAATATATCTCTCATTTATATACGCATATATTTCTAATTTCAACACAGACAAAAAAAGCTATCAACACTATATACATCTAATATCAATTTTCTGCATATGAGTTATTAATTACATATGTTATACATGTTTCCATAGTTGGCGGCAATGACCCTAAATAACGGTTTGAACGTTCAAACTGCAGCAGCACCATAAATGAAAAATTAGAAATTTATTATTCATTAGACAGTAGTTTGTCAAAAAATAATAGGACTTCATTATTTTAGATTATCAAGTAGGTATTAAGGTGATTGTTCTACTTTTCATTAAATGTATGTGATGATTGTGTTTTAAGTTACTTTGTGTTGTTTACATTTTTACCCTCCTTATTCTGTATTTACATTTTGTTTTTATAGTAAATATATATTTCAGAGAACTTATGAAAGAGGAAATAAGGAACTAATTATAGTCACTGTACAAGTATAATTTCATTAGAGTAATACAGTATTTGTATTATACATGATGTATATACACCATTGAGACTTTATTTTATAATTGTTGACAAGGGATGTCTGATAAAAGTAAGTAAATTTAATAAATCCTTTATTGTTTAAATTCTATATACTATTTATTTATTATATATACATTGTTATAGAAAATAAATCATACGTAAGGACAAAGTATAGAGTTCAAAAAAAGAATACTGAGCATGCAAATTTTAAAATGCCTTCAAATAAAAATGTAGATGAATATTTACATGGATCACAAAACTTTTGTTTGAGATGGTCCCCAGGTTCTACTGACAGCAATATACAAAATGTTGTAACTCCTAGTGAAAATGACATAATAGTTATAAGTGACTCTAGTTGTAAGTCTACTTCTCCTAGTCCAACTTGTAACTCTAAATCAAGTTCTACGTTAAAAACACAATCTAATAGAAGTAAGAATGTATATATTTTGGATTCTTCTGATTCTGATATTGAGGCTGAGAAGGATGACAAATTTTTTCAAGCATGGAGAAAAAATAAAAACATAAATTTTATTAATCATAATAGGGAAAGAAGAGATATTAAAAAAAGTACTGCACAATATACTTCTGACGAGTCTTCTCCCAATAGTCCCAAACATTGCAAAAGATTTGTTAGACATATTAATGAATCAAGTTCTTCAGACTCTGTTTCAGAACATACTGCTAAAAATATTTCAAAATCAAATGTTCAAATTCATAACAATGTAGCAAATAAAGTAACTTCATCGTCAGATTATACTAGTTGTAGAAGTAATCCAATAAATGTTGAATGTAAGATTCAACCAACTAAAAATTTATTAATTAAGAATAAGAAAAATGTTACACGAAGAGACTTCCAAAGTATAATTAAAAACATAAAATCTACAAAAATGGTGTATGAGTCACCAAAAACTATCAGAAGAGATAATGTCACATCAGATGAAGACATAAATGATATACATCCTGCTATTTCTACAGACAAGAAAGAAACAAATAATAAAATTATTGACGAAACTCCAGTAGATTCTGAGAGTGATATTGTTCAAAGTTCTCAAGTAAATTCAGCAAATGTTTATAAAACTCCAATAAACCGAATTTTGTGTAAACCACATGAAAATAAAGATGAAGAAATGACATGTTCTGAATTATCAGAACGAAAGAAGAAGCAGATTTCACAGTGGCTTATGACAACTTCACCTAACTCACAAAGCGATACCTCGCTTAGTATGGTGCCTGCAACTAACAAAGATGACGTAAGTTCTGGGAATAGTAGTTTAGAAAGACTAGAAATGAATTATGAAACTCCAAATAATAGGGGAAAAATACATCGTACTCCTAAGAATGAAAATGGAATAATAAATTCAGATTCTACTAAACGAATTAATTCTGTAACATTAAGACAAACTACATTGAAGGAATGTATACAATCAAAAAATGATACTCCAAAACCCTGTACATTAAAAAATAATGCTGCAAACACACCACAAAATCTAGTCATTACAGATTGTCAGGACATATTAGATAAGTTGTATGGCAAATCTTGGCGTGATAAAGCTCATATCTTATTTACAAATTCTGAACAACGAAAGCCTGTAATACCTACAAGGAACAGAGCAGTTCAGACTGAAAGGTAAACTATAAATATTATTTTTTGCCTTACAGTTGTTAACTATATCAATATACAAATTTTTATATTGTAGGAAACCAAAAAATAAAGGAAGGTGTCATGTAACGGATTCAGAAGATGATGATTCAAACACATGTAAGCAATTACATTGCAATTATATTATTCTTTTTGTACAAACGAATGAAAAGAGATAATAATGATTATTCGAAATATTATTCAGCCTTACAGGATCTGAAATTACAAAAACGATTGCCAAAAAAGAATGTGCGAAAAACTACTAAACAAGACAGTTTTATTAATGATCAATCATCATCAGGAAGTGAAAGTGAAAGTTTGTATTACACTGCATTGACAAATCCAAAATTATCAGTAAACAGTACACAAAAGAACAAAAATCTTAAAGGTCTACAAAAGTAAGGAATACATATGTAGAATGTTTAAATATGATAGAAATTCTTACATAATTGTTATAATTTATATTTTAGAGTTCTTAGAGTGTGTGATACGGATACCGAGGACGAAGATAAAGAAAGTGATAATAACGAATACGATGCAGCAAGAAAGAAACTATCATTTGACAATGATGAAATTGAGGATTCAAATACTAGCGAATTCGATCCTGGTGATGAGATACCACCGAAATCTACAACTAAGAAAGGTAATACTTTTGTTTAATATATTCAAATATTTTTTTACATGAGATGTAACGTTTATAGAGCTTACTAAAATTCCACGGGAAATACCTAAAGCGACTAATAAAAATAAACCAACATCAAATAATCAAAAGTATAACAGTTTTCTATCATCTTTATCGGAAAATGTACCTATTACTAATGCACATCCGGATGCTAGAAAGTATAGATTGAATTATAAAAATACTAAAGAAGATCTGTGTAACTATTTATATAAATTGTATAACGAAAAAGTATTTGATAAAAAACTACCAGAAGACATGACAATAGAATGGAATGTACGTATGAGAGGAACTGCTGGTTTCTGTTACAACAAGAAATCTATAAAAACACTTGGAGGTGTTGTAAAATCTTCAAGAATAGTTTTAGCAACAAAGGTTTGTTCCATATCATTCCTTAAAAATGAAATCTGACATACATATTAAATATATAATATGATTCATAGATTCTAGATACTCCAGACAGACTTAGAGACACTTTAATTCATGAAATGTGCCATGCAGCTGCTTGGTTAATAAATGATGTTTCTGATGGACATGGACCATTTTGGACAGGATGGTATATAATAATAGTATTCCTTATCATTTTAATATTTATTACAGACTATTATAACTGGTAATATTCTAGGGCTAACAAAGCTATGAAAACATTTCCTGAATTGCCACCAATCAGGAGATGTCATGATTATAAAATTAAAACAAAATTTACATACAGATGTGTGAACTGTGGGTACAGGTAAGGTGACCTGATATATAGAAAATTCAATTATTTATATATCATAGAAAGCTTGTCTATGTTATTAAAAATTTGGTTGCAGCATTGGCAGACATTCTAAGTCTTTGGATACAGAAAAGAAACGGTGTGGTCACTGCTTTGGAAAGTTTGAATTATTAGTAAATAAAACAACAAAGTCGGGAACTGTACAAGTACAGACACCTTCAAGAGAGCCGTCAGGATTTGCGCTTTACGTAAAAGAAAATTACAATACTGTAAAGAAAGAACGTAACATAAGACATGCTGAAATTATGAAAATTTTAGGTCAGCAATTTTCAGCAATTAAAATTGCAACTAAACAGAAAAATTTTGAAAATGAAGAAGATAATTCTGTCCTGAATAAGCAATAGATACTATCTTTGTTTAAAGTGCCTTTTATTTATAGATAGATTATATATTTTTAATATAATATGACATTAATGTAACATCATTAGATTATTTTGATTTTAGAAAGACATTTTACGAGTCGCAGAACTGATACAATTTTACCATTGCAGGCATTGGAATATGAAATATGCAATGAATTTTTTATTATATCCTTAATAGGGTTATTATTTGTAGAGACGCATAGCTTTTATATAAGTGAACTGTACAGCTATAATTGTGACTTAAGGATTTTTATTAATTTTGCACAATAAATGACATGCGTTAACAAAATCACTATACCTTAATTATATAATGATAATTCATAAATTACTATTTACACAAAATCAAAAAAAATTGAACTGTATCATTCGTTCAACGAAAGATAATACTCGACTTGCGCAAGACGGTCGATTTCAGTGAGATCCCCACCAGGAAGTACAGTGCTACTTCTCTATGCTTTCCATTTTTATTGGTAGTACACACGGTGGACAAAAACATGTCAATAAAAAAACAGGCGATATATAGAGATGTACGGATTTTGAACTTTTGCCTTAAAGACGGCGCGAAGTACTTCGGGAAAGATCGGCGATGATCGCGCGAGATCTCGCGAGATCTCGAAAAGTTTGGTACAACTTTGGATCTCAACTTTCAAATTTCGAAACTTTGAAAGTGGGGAATTTTGAAATTGTGAAACTTTACAACTCTGGGACTGTACCACTTTGGAATTTTTGAACTTGTACTGATTTTGAAAGTAAATCGATTCGTAAGCGTGTGAGACTTTTGTAATAAGAAATATACAAGATTTTGTCTCACTGAGTATACACGTTCAGTGTTACTAAAGTTATAAATACGTTTGCGCGTTGCCCCTGGTTACGAAGTATGTTTGGGCCAATCAAAAGTGATATGGGCAGGACAAATAAAATTCGTCCGATGATAAGGGTGGTCTTTTGTTGAGCGAATAATAAACATTTTGTGCATGGATGAACAGCACATATCATTTAACTGTTTCGCAGTGCACTGCTACATCGTATGATTATTTGTACAGTTTCAAATACAACGTTGCAGCGATTAAATCCCATTTCCATGTAAAGTTCTTCAATGAAAATGTTACCTAAGATTCTTTGCATGGGCAAAACGCATGCGTTGAATTCACGGTGTGGCGGCGGCATCAACAGCGCACTCTAAAAACAGTCGAGCCGAAGATGGCGACGTGCAAGTGGCGGTGTCGGTGCGGTGTTTGAGAGAAAGGATCATGTTGTTGCTGCAGTGTTCGCAGTGTTTCCGTGATCCGCGTTGAGTTCGGTGCAAATGTAGGAATGTCAGAGGCTAAACGGGTACCTTTACAGACCTTGGAGTTTCCGGAGTCCTTGGGCTACGCTGCGAAGAAGGAGAAAAAAGGGGAAAAGGGCAAACAGCTCGCGCCCTCCTTCCGCTTCACACTTACCCTGCCTGAGTCGAACGAGAAGGCATGTCCTGAGTTCAACTATGCACAGCTTCTCAAAGCAGCCGAGGTCAGTTCTACCTTTCACTCGTTAATGCACCAAAGGGAAATCAAAACCTACAATGTCCATCCATACGGTCACGTTTACCAAGACATTTGCCAAGACACCGGCTTAACAGTTTCGTTTCACACACGCACTTTGACAAGAAACTGTAAAAATGCCAATGGAATCGCCCATTTTCACGGTGCATAGGATGCAAAGAAGTTGTATCTGTTGCCCGAACCTATTGTCATATCATGGTTATAGCATGAGATCCGAACACCTCGCGACGTGCTAAGTTTTTGTATTTATTTAGATTTTTTCGATTACAATGCATCAATATTGTATCTAGATTATCAGGAAAAGGTGCGATTAACTTGAAGCCATCGAATAGAAACGTCACAACGCATTACCGGTGTACATCCGTGTCAACGTATGCTTCCACGAGACACCGTCTGTCGAAGTTTCGTTTCAAACCTAATTACGAACGAACGTTTAACGATCATTTTCGTGGCAATCGTTATCAAGCATATACGAAATATCCGTAGAACTATTAGAATACGATAGTGCTATCCGGTGTCGCTGATTCGCTAGAGCGACGCTCCTGTTACTTATATGTATGCGTTTGCACGTTTTCTCTAACGTCTATGCTTTTATTAACATTTTTTACTGGAACAGACTAGTAATATCGTAATCTGTTTTATCTTGATAATATTATATGGTTACGTACATCTCTTTACTAGTTTTGTGTTCGGTGGACGGAACACGACTCGTGACTGTCGACATACATGGAACATGTTGCACATTGCTTTTACGCTAAGCTAATGTTACGAATTTATAACATTGTTTAATTATATTACTTTTTTTATTATTTATTGTATTGTTATTAATAAATATTTATCTCTGCGTTTTCTTATTTACCTTGTAACAACATGATATCTTTATTTTAAGATTATTAAAGTGTTGGTTAGTTTTTCCTAACGAATTTTAACGGAACTACCGTTTATTCTTGTTTCTTTTTTAAATGTATAGTAGTTTTTTATAAGTCACGATGTTGCAATAAGATATAGCGTGTTTAAATAAGATAATTAGTGGTAAGTAGCTTTTAAATGAACGTTCAGATACAACGTATTTCTTTAAACGAAAATAACAATTAAATTTACACAATGAAATTGTTAAATAATTTTACATTCGTGTATTTTAATAAATTTAACATTATGTTGTATTTAATGTACTCGTTACTGAATTTGACTATTTTTTTATTTGCAACTATTTTTAGTTTAACAACAAAACATAAATTTATATTATGTATAAAATAAGCGGAACATATTGTAAATATTAGCGATAATATTTTTAAGGAGAATTAATATGACACAGTGTTTTGTAATGTTTTGCTTAATTAAAATAATTTGTTGCAACTTATATTAAACATTGTATATTTATCGTGCAAAGTATTATTGTTTGAGTTTGTTGACAACTATATTTTTGTTGGGATCAATCACTTATAGTAGCGTCTTCGGTATTAGGAGCGCAGAAGATAGCGAGAAGTCGCGTGTCTCGGTGGAAAGAGCAAGAATGACATTCTGTTTATAGCATAGGCTCCTGGTATGAATGAACAGCTTATGCCCTCTTTTGAATCGACTATCTTTCTGTTCCACACTCCGTACGCGTTTGAATGAACATTATTGAAAATATCAAATATTGATACCTAAGTATTCTTTTTACGTTTTAATATTTATTAATAAATACATTAAAAATATACTTCAAAATATTTTGTTTCGCATATCTCAGATATACGCATTAAAATGTTACGGACTGATAATTTTACATTGATACTTGTATTTTACAGAAGAAACGTAGAAAAGAATCAAAACGTGGAGATGACAATCCAAGCAATGGGCTATCGTTCGATGACGATGACGACGATGAAAAATATCGTGAGATGGCCAAACGGTTCGAAGCAAAATATGTACGTAAAAATATTTTGCTTATTTGAAAATTTATGTTATTTTTTTGTGATACATTTAATCGATTGTTACAGGGAACGTCTACCGTCGGAAGAAAGAGACACAAATATGATGAATATGTGGATCTGGGTGCTGGATACGATGAAAATGATTCTTTCATCGACAATACCGATGCGGTATATAAACTATTTATTTCAAGACATTCCAAACTTTTATGGGTCGAGACCCGCTTTCGAAAAATTTTTCGCGACCTACTTGCAATGCATTATTATTCAAATTTCTAATGTTCTAAATTCCTGAAGTTCGATACCCATATTCTGGGAATTTTTTTATTAAATTCGTATTTAAAATTCAATGATAAACTTTTGATATAGTAATGTACCGTTTTAGTATGATGAAATCGTACCAGAAGAGATGACTACGGCACACGGAGGTTTTTACATCAATTGTGGAGCTCTCGAATTTAGAACAGCAGATCGCCATTCACTTGTCCACAACAATAACAACAACAACAATAATCCTAGTAATGACGATGAAAGCAGCGAGAGCAGCGAAGAGGATACGGAGGATGTGGACAGTCCCAAAAGATCTGAGAAACGAAATATTAGTTCGTCGGATGAAGATGATACTGAAGACATTACCGGTGATCAACCAAGAAAAGTAACTGAGGTTATAGTACAATGTCATTTGGTTGATCGCTGTTCTATGTTAAATGTTTGTTTCTTTTACAGAAGCAAAAAGTGGATGAAAGTGAAGAAAAGAAATCCACCCACGAAAACATAATTAAAAAGAAAAAGAAACAAAATTCGCATGATCAGCAAAATTCTCAACAAGATGGAGAGACTTTGAACAGACGGAAAGAAAAAGGAGAAACTACAGATGCGGAAGGTAACATAATTGCATCAAATACTATAAATTCGTAATGTAATTATTATTGTTATTATAATAGTAATAATAATAATGACAACAATACGAAACAATTTTTAAGGGTTCCTTCCAAATTAGTTTCAGAAGATCAAGAAGAGAAGAAGAAATCTGACAAAACCGATACGCAAAAAAATAAAAATGCAACCGATAAAAAGTTCGATATAAAAAAATTCAAAAAGAAATCATCCAATAGTAATGGTCTTGATGGAAAGAAGCTAGAATTAAAAAAATTAGGTGATAAAGATAGTAACATTAATGACGCGATAGAAAGTGTAATTAATGCTGCAAGGGTCGATGATGAATCTAGTAGAGACACGACCGATTCTGGAAAGTCTCGATGTATAGGTACAGAATCTGAATGTGATGATGTTGATAAAGACGAAGCACCATTGCCTGATTCCCTTCCAGAAAATGTTGTAGAAATAGTAAATAATCTAAAGGCGCGTGCCGAAAATAGTAAAGAAGGGAAGAGTAAATTTTTCAATAACGCAGTAAATACGTTATTGTTTAGGTAAGTGATTGTTACGTAATGTTTCAAAGTTTATAAAAATAAATATTAGCATTGCCATTTCAGTTTAGAGAAAAGGTTGAGAATGCTGTCTTCTCCGAGTCTAAGGTTAGAAACTTATGGACATTTAGCAAGATTTTTACCATGTAGTAAAATGGCACTTCAAAATAGAGCAAAGAAATTGTATGTGCAAGATCTTGATTACAAAATCAAAAACCTTATACAGAGGTAATAAATACCGAGCAACTGAATCTATGAACAAGTGTCATAAATTTGTTTATGCAATAAGTATAATATGTTATTACAGGTTAAAAGAAGTAATCAATGAAATAATGCCACCTGCAATGTACAAATATTTTGATGAATGTCAAAAAGTTGCAGAAGAAAAGTAAGTTGCATTTTCTTTTTTTATTTTTCTGTTGTCGGTTGCTAAATATCTAGTGTAGCGGAACATCGATGAATTGAGTTTGAACTATCGAATTAAACAATAAATACGAAAGTTTTTTTTGATCTTACAGTTAGTGAAGGAAACATAATATTTTTGAGATTTTTAATCATAATTATGTGTATGACATTGAATGGGAACTTACTATAACCTTCTATTTCTTAGTCCTCATTTATACTGGGATATATACCGGTACTGTTGGTAAGGTGCCCCTCGTAAGAGGAAACCTTTTCTATTTTCACCTTTCCTGTCATTCTTTATCTTCCTTTTCTTCTATCATTTCTAGTTCCCCTACTCTTCTCATGCTTATGTATTGCAGCTATCTCAATGTTTCACATGCTTCGAAAAAACGTTCATAGTGTTATATATGAAAAGTTCAAAAGAAATTTTATAAGTTTGTTATTGATTTTATTGAGATAGCAAAAAAATGCGGGGCTTTTTATCATCAGTATCAGTGTTTGGTTTATCATAAGCATCATCTTTTTTGTCGAGCAATAGAGCTTTGCATTACTAGAGATTGATTATTCGATGATCATATTACCATTTTAACATTTTTATTACAAAATTCATAACATATTTTTATCCAGAAATTTTCTCGATTAATAATTTTTAATTACGATAAATGCAAATCATTGTTTTTATCATCATCATTATATGTATAATTCTTCTTCTAATTAATTTATTTTTTTGTTAATGTTAATTTATAATTAATACTATTATAGGGAAGTAGACGGGTCGCCCGAAAACGCTGAAAGTTCTGATGATGAAGATAATTGTGAGGATTCAGAAAAGTCAAAAATTCCTAAAAAGCGATTTCCATGGACCGAAGAAGCAAAGTAAATTTTTTATATCTGATTCCACACGTATCGGATGAAACAAGTTTTGTTGAGATATTTAGTTTCGTTTTCTGTGTTTGTTACAGGAAACTTGTTTATGAAATTGCAAATGCAAAAAGGCAGTGTTACATTGTTTTAAGACCAAGAAAACTAAGCATGTATACTTTCGTAGGATCATTTTTACTTCGACAAGTTCTACCGTTATGGCCACGTGGATATATGACAGCGCGTACCTTATTCAAGTTTATCGATGATACTGAACCTGCAACAGTAACGACCAAGTATGTAATCAAGCAACATTAGTGATTTAATACGAAATTAATATTTTTGTGTTCATATTTTTATGAAACAAAATGATTTAATTTCAGTACAAAGAAGAAATCAAAGAAATTAAAAGAAATTGGTAATGGTAGTGCTGTTAATTCTGAGAATACAATACATAATTCTACTGCACGGACTGAAACATCAGCTGTAACTAATGCTTCGGTTCAAGAAAAAGAAAAACATTTAGGAAATGCATTTAAAGGTCACAACGTTACGGAAAGTTCTACGAACTGTGTAAAACAAGGAACGACAAAATCCAGTGATAACGTAGAAAAAAGGCAACATAGTTCAAAAAATAAAGACAAAAATAAAGATATTTGTAATTTGGGACAGCAGCACGAAAATTCGACGACAACATCTAACAATACTACCGTAGGAAAAATATCTGTCGTGCCTACGGCTCAGTTAATGGCCCAAAAACCAGTTAAAAGTCACGTGGAGAAGATTAATTTGATGGACTTAGGTAATAGTTCCCTTTCTATTACGCCGGTTAATGATTTTCATAAATCATCTACAAAGATGAATGAAAATAAAAAGGATGTAGTTTCTATTACCGCTTATTCTGAAACTCCAAATGTTCTTCCAAATACAAATGAAGTGCCTCAGAGTGGACATCATTCTGTACACAGACAGGAAGCTTCATATTTATGTACACAATCACAACATTCAAACTACTCTACATCTAATCAAACATCTACTCATTCAAAACCTGTGTCTTTAAAACATAGATTACTACACGAAAATCCAGAAGCTAAAACCGATAAAAGAATAGAAGATAAAGACGTTGAATTGGTTAATAAGACTGAGAAAAAGGATAAAAGGCGGGAACGATGCGTGGATGTTAAACACAAGTCGCACGACGTTAAAAAGAGGAAAAAGGATCAAAAAATATCGGACAAACATTTAAGTCATATTAATTCAGATATAGTGCCTATGCAGCAACAACAACCAGTGCTTACAAAAGAGGAACAAGAAAAAAGACAAAACGAGGAAACGATTGCTGCTACTACTTATTTGAGTCAAATCATCAATGATGATGTAGCTCCGAGAGAGAAGCGAAAAGATATTATTTCGGATGATCCGGTAGGTACCGTGGTGCCGCCAACTGCACAAGAAGAAGACGTTCAAATGGTGATGAGGTCTTTAAAAGAATTACAAGAGTTGCAAGAGATGAAGTATTCACCAAATCATTCACCGGTTAGCACCAATATACAAAAATCTAATAAGTCAAATACACAATGTGCTACTTATCAGGATGACTATTCACGCTTATATCTTAAAAAAGATGGTAAACTAAAATCTAAAGATGAACCACAGTGGTAATATTGTCACATAACGTGCACTAGTAACGTAAACAGTGTTGAAGAGAATGAAGAACGCCAGTGAACAGATAATAATTTCATAGAGAACTATAGGCGGATTTTTCAGTAAATCTACATTATTTTTTATGAAATCGCGTTTACGTAAAATTGATAAAAAAAAAAACTTCTTCCATTATGAATCGCGTTGATATCGATAACCAAAATCGCACGCTACAGAGGAACAGCGTGCCGCGATCTTATTGAGTCGCATCAATTTTTAAATATTTTAACAAACCGCCAAATTATGTAAATATATATTAATTCATTCGTAATAATTTGAAAAAGCGCGTGTACAGACTAAGTATAAATTATGGAGAAGTATATTAATCGTATAGATATTTGTAAATAAGTTAGCGTCCATTCGCCGTGAATGGGGTGGTCTGTGAAACTTCATTTTATTTTTAATTTCATTACGTAGCGTTGATTGACAATTTTTAATACGAGTCTAGGCATAGTTGAAAGTTATTCGTCTGCCGTGAGTCGTGTACTGATGTTATTTCGTTTTATCAGGAAATCGGATTGCGGTGCGTTCCTTTTAATTTTCTGCACTGCCAAGATTTAGGGAGCGGTGGGTTACTGTCGTTAGTAAATATATTTCACACAATATCCAGTAATTGCTGGCCACCCTGAATCATCGAGCGAAAAAGAACGTTTCAAATGGTGTTCCTTTTGCGCACGAACAGCAATTATGGTTTTGTGACGTAACGCAGAGAAACGTATTTATTTGTATCTATATTTTTTGACGTGTATTCGAAATTGAAATCTTTGCCTTCCAAATTATTTATTCACATCGGTCATATAAGCAAATTATCGAATTTGTTTATTGAATGCAAAATACGAGTAGTTTTATGATTTGAAAATAAATTGCACATGTATATTTATGCTGTTTGTAAACGCAAGAAGAAATATAACTTGAAATGTGTTTAATAAGTTCCAGAATACGCTAAACGTTTTTAGGAAGTTCATTAAAAAAAAACGAAAAAATGAATGCTTAGTTTTGTTTACAAACTACAAAACTGTATACATAATTGGTATGCGACTTAATTATACGATCGATTTTAATAATCAGAATGCGAGGAACGAATGTGCGTGAAAGTATTGTTTAGAAAGAGCTACAATATTTTTGAAACACAAAGGTGACGATTAGTGATGTATTATATACTATAAACTTTCTTTTCCCCTCCCATCTTACCCTTATGATACTTAGAATACGATTAAGCGTCTTGTACAATTCTGCACCGAGAATTTCCACGAAGACGACTTAAAATATAAGTTTTGAATATTTTTTACAACATCTATATATTTCTTACCTTTACCTTTGCCCGTCATCTATATTGTAGAGGTGCCTCTAATGTCTGTAAGTTGTACATAACGCTACGATACATTTGTAGGAATAATTTATTTCAAACCTTTTCTTTGTATTATTTATAAGTTTTAACATATTAAAAGAAAAAAAAAGAATTTTAACATAATGAGTGTCTTAAATAGAATATAAAACTTCGATTAGGGGAAAAGAAAACCATGAAACGCAAGAGAGTTTTTGTTTTTATAAGTTCTCAATAAAAAGTATTAATTTTTTGCAATGTTGACTTTGTAGAATCCCAAGTACGTACCTTGTATGTACTCTTATTTCACTTGATTGATTAGTTTATTTCTCGATCAATAATCTCGAAAGTTGTGCGCATCTTTGATAATTATATTAATGTCATGCTGGTCGTGGCAGCCCTTTAAATCCATTATTTCATACAATTTTCACATACTCAATGTTTCCATAATTCGAGAAAGAATAGAAAAAAGATGAACGAGAAGCATATAATTTACGACGACGAGCAACATGACCGCAATTTCGTCTATAGTAAGAAACGACTTACACATATGGAATTTGATGAGTGCAACCAGGACGGAATAAGATGCGGGACACAAAGGAAGATATATTTTAGGAGAATTCGAAGTAGCCGATCAAGGGAGGAATTCTTTTGAACCGTACAGCTATGGATATTGCAAAAAAGAACATCGTAGGACCGGTTTCAGCAACAACGATCATAAAGATGAGTCGGGGAATAACTTAAGCTTTTATGGGACAATGATGACGGTAGGGCCAGAAGGTCATGGAAGAATGATGGCTGCTATGACGAATAAAAATCGAAAGATTCATTCACAGATGGTATGTGTGGCAGTTACGTATTAAATGAAATAGAGTTCAATATATTACAATGAACAAAGATAACAATGGCCAATTTGCATTTTTCTGCGCAGAGAAGGATGTCATATATTTGAAAGTATATATAATACAATGATTGAATTAACAAATATAATGTAAATACATTTTAAATACGATGTGAATTTATACTCAGGGAGTGGGCAATTTTAACTTTGTAATGTTACTTGTTATCATTGTAATATTGAATATACCAAAAGGTCCACAGCTGCCATGAATAAGGAGTACGACAAAGCCTCTGCAACTTTATTACATTTATTACGAGATCGATACTTGAATAACTTTAAAATTTGATATGAGCAATTTGTTTTATACGCAATAAAGTTATTTATATTATTACTTACAAGTAGCATTTGGTTGCGTATTTATGGCATTATCATAAAAGGCAAAATGAAGCACGGTTAAATAAACGTTAAAAGCATTCGTACACGTTCGTACGATCCAGTTATACTCGGGGTCTAATTGACCGTTTTCGTTCATTGCACTAATTATTCTTTACCTAAACATCGATTAACTTAAGAAACGTTTATGTACAAGAAGAGTAAAGTTAAAGCGGGATTTAAATTTCATGGTTAAAATTTTTATTGCAAATTTTTGTCACTTATCAGCAGTCAATTTGAAAAGTCAACTCGATGGTGTTTCGTTGTTTCTCCGCCGATGTCACGACGATCGGTCGTGACGTAATACGAAATACTCGACAGTCAGAAAGGTCTGGGGGTCTGCTGTGTGACCTTGCAGTGTTTGTAAACAGACACACGTTGCCGTTTCAAAGTGTTGAAGAACAGGACGGAATCGCTATCGAACAAAGCGTGTGGCGAAGGATTCATTGAAGGGACACGTTAAGGAAGAAAACCAGTGCGAGTCATGGAAGTAGAGCCTATGTGTATCGCGGAAAACGAAACGGTGAGTCGACAATTTGTACAAACGATGAGGTGACAACGTGCTCGCGTGACGCAAACTGCCATGAAAATCAGGCAACAAGATTACGCGCTTTAAACAGATTACACCATGTTGTGCAAAGAGGGCGCGCGTATAAAGTCTTCATTTTTTTACAACATTAATCGTTTCTTAGAATTGCCAACAAAGGGCGTTGTTTCTTTCCTTCGACGTCCAGACCCGTAAGATCGTTGATTTGGCAAGGGGTTCGTGGGGTGGGAGGGGGAACATGCACAGCCAAAGGGTGGCTATTTGCTCGTGTGTGCTATTTCGTGGTAAGTTGACGTTTGATGTCGCTGCTTCGTTTTCTTTCGCATTCTTGTCGTCTGATCGCGCCACGTGTCGTTTCGTTTGGTTTCGTCTTCGCTCAGAAGATGTCGTTATCGTCTTCGGAAAGTCATATGATCATCAGGCGCGGAATATACTGGAGTCCATCACGGATAAAGTTAATGTTTAGTACTGTTTGTCTTGTGAAATTTTGTGTAATATAAAATAGAAGGAAACTATGAAGTTTATAACCACATTAAAACCTTAAATAATGTAAGTAGGAACAAGGTCAACTGAGTTCTAATTGTAAGTGGAAAAGAGAAGTGCTCCAGTTCCTTGCGACTATTTGAATCGATCACAAAAACGAGTCGGAAGTTCATGCCATACGTTCGTAATCGATCACGAAACTAGTGACAGTTGAAAGAAATCAAATTGCACGCTACCTTCATACAAATTGTAGATATTCCGGAAAAGTGAAGCGCACAGTATAAACAATTTTGATCTCGATTTGGATGTCACGAGATTCGGTAAATCGCCGTTTCGCGTCGCGACGGTCGTTCAACTATTACCGGTTGTACCGTTCGGGCACCGGTATCGAACACCACATCCCTGAACACAACGTTTTAGCCCGTCAACTGCGCAGTTGACACAGCTCACACGTCGCGTAGCACCGGTGAGTTTTCTTCAGATACATTTATTTCATTTCTTTCTCGATTCATAGCGGTCCACGTTAATTTAGTTAGCTATAAACTCTCGCGCGTATTTATCACGGGCCAGACCGTGGAATTACCTCTTGTTTTTCGAACACCTTATATACATACCATTTCCGAACGATACCCTGTTGATTCTCTCCCGGTTAAATCGAGAATTACGCACGCTCGCTTTTACGCCGGTGCATATCGTAATTTCTGATTCCCGCGCGACACAAGCATTTGAAATTGGTAGAGGCTAGTAAAATTCATATCGATGTTGTTGCGTTCGAAATGCCGGTCGATCGCTTTTACTGCTACCGTTATACTTGGTCGCCCACACGCGACGCTACTGCGCAATTCAACGGTGTGCATCTAATTCGGAGGGAAAACGGTGTCCTTAACCCTTCTGACTTGACACTGTACGGTCGGATGACTGACTCTTCGGTCTTGAGGGATCAACTACTTGCAATTTTCAAATTTTAGAATTCATAAATTTTTAGGTTTAGATTTTCGAATTTGCAAATTGCTAAACTTGATGAACTAAAAAATTGATAGTAGAGTTTTTTATGGTGAATCAAATGTCAGGTTAGAAGGACCCTCTGTGAAGTATGCTGTTTCCCTTACAGAGTATACATTGTAAATTATTTGTTTATCCAAGATGTAAGAGTCTGTGATCACCGTAATGATTTTCTTAGAACCGTTATCCGCACGTGACGCTGCTGCACAGTTGTACGCATCTAATTAAGGTGGAGACAGGTGCCCTTAACCCTTTGCGGATTTTCGACCTAGATATTATGCATGCACGGCTATATTGTTCCTCTTCTAAAGTACTAATCTCGAATGTTTATTTGTGTCAAGATTCATAATTCATAAGAGCTTGCAAATCATAATAATAATTTCCGTTGCATTCATATATACGGGCTTATCGTTCTCAAAGGGTTGTTCGTAGAAACTTAACTGCGGGTGTACGAGTTTAAAGGGGCTGTTAGCCTCTTATCCGATTCGCAATTGGCGATAAACGGTTTTGCGTTTCAGCGATTTCGCGCCCCGTTTCACGTAACCCGTTCGAAATCGAAGCGGAGTTTCGTATTGTTCGAACGATGCGACACGTTCGGTAAAATTGAACGGGTCGCGATCCGGTCACGCTCGCGAGCTTCCAGAATGCCCGAGAATATTTTTGATTGGGTAATCAGAGCGAAACGGTCCGGCTGGAAAGGTTTAAGTGGCAAAATTTAAGCGGCGTTCGTTGCCCTTTCGTCACACCATGCAGCTTTTCACTGTAATACCGTTTTACTCCCGACACTTTACGGTAATGGTTCCGGAGTGTTCCCGTTCGATCGGAAGAAACCCAATGTACCTCGTTCCGTTCGAGTAATCGTTCTTTCTTCGATCCTACGATGTTCAAACTATGTCGTGGACTTCTTCCAATTACCTCGTCAAAATGCTCAAATTTCCTATTATATCTTTCAATATTGCACTACAGTCTGAAATATTTCCGTAGCTCGACTTTTGTCTGATCTGAGATTTCTTTGGGTTCGACCTGTTCTTGGACTCAGACAAGGCTGTTGAGAAATCTTTCACAATTCTAGGTTCTTCATAAGATCTTAAGTCTAAGTTCTCAAGTCCATCTTTTCTCTTATAAGGATATGTTTAAGGGTTTTCCAAATTTTCTGTATTATAACGATTATCTATAAGGCGTTAACGTAGGTCTGAAATAAATTGGGTCGGGAATGGAGTTTCTCGAAGACTGACACTAGACAGCCTTATACACGCTTAGCTCGATCGGAGCGAACTAGCTGCATTTCCAAGGAGTTTCATAGGCGGTGTTCCGATCACTGTCTCCTATCGAGATCTCGATACGTTTGCAAACCAATCGAAGCGTGGAGAACAGCGGCATCGCAACGACAGATGTTCCCCGTGTCGTAAATCTTTTACGACAGTTGCTTATCGGTACGAGTTCGCGTTCCTTCCATCAGACTTCCTCTTCTTCGCTTTCCTTCCATAAACTTTCCTCTCTCCATGGAAAGAATCGCTGAATGAGTGACTGCGTTTTACTAGCGCAGACTTATTGCTTTTAAATTACAATCTAACTTTCCCAAGGTCTAGGTTGCAATATATCTAAATTTCAATTTACTTTATATCCCAAATACGTTCACAAGTCTCTTCCAATCTGTGTCACTTCTAGCATAGGTCTACGTTTTCATTGGTCAAATATTTCCTTAGTTCTACGTCGCCCTTTAGATCTTAATTGTTCTAGACTTAGCTTCGAGTCCATGTTTCACTAGGTCCAGATTATCTTACAGTTTCACAGGCGAAGTCGATAAAGAAAAAGACAGAAAGTAGTGTCAAAGAAATACGTGACAACCGATCAAAACGTGAGGCCACAAGTAGCTACCGCTATCGGAGGACGTGCAGACTGGGAGTATATGATTTTCTTGTGTAAAACGAACGAATCACATGCTCGATCGCGCTAGATGTATATTAGACTGTAAATGGAAAGTTCGATCGACAGGGGGTCGCGAATTTCACGCGGGAATCGGTTATCGCAGGTAGATTTACGGGATTTTCGTGGCGGTGCTATGATTTCAGCGTGCAGCTCTGCCATTGTATTCGCGGGATCTCCCTCGTTCATTGTTACGTAGCGGCGTCGGTGGCACGGTTGGAAAATTACGAGGCTTCCTTCTCCTCTTCCTCTCTCGCCGTTTCTCTTCCGGTCGCGTTAGTCTCGCGGCGAACAATGACGTGGAAAAGCCCAAGGAGTCTTTAAAGCGCGTGTCCTCGTGTCCCGTCGCTTTTTTCTCACCTCCATTTTTCCTACCATATATTGTTATTCTTCAGCTGCAATGATTTGGTGATATGTACGATATACTGTTCCGACAACGTTCCTTTCAAAGATCCTATAAACAGCTCACAAATTTTAGTCCTATTTAAACCTTACGAATTCAGAACAGGTTGATTAAGGCGGGTAATGTTTCACACAGCTAAGTACAGATTGAATGCACTCTTGAAAAAAAGACACGTGTTGATACGCGACCGCGTATACCATTATCAAACAGTAAGAGGTTATTCGCATTAATCTTCGAGTGCGAGGACCAAGAGCGTATGACCTCGCATTGTTCGATAGCGATAGTCGCGGATCGAAATGAAAATCGAAGAAATCTAAATGAAAGGTTGATTTAAGATGATAGGTTAACACTTGGCGATATCCACGTATCGATTGACGCAATTTAACGACGATTTCGATGGAGAAGTTCTCGTCCAAGTGGTCGTTCGCAGCCGCGAGAATCGCTTTGTAGGTCAGCGTCGAAAGAGCGGCGTAGGATCGTGCAACCTTCGACGAACGGAGGTAATAATAAGGTTGTATGCCCTCGGTGGATCCAGTAACTGTGCCGTGCATGCTCGATGCTTTACACAATGAGAGAGAAGACCGTCGTAACGTCGTGGCATCGTTCTTCGTGATATTATAGGATCGTAACGGCGAATTATAGAGTCGCCGCGTGCGGGACTACATTAATTTTATTTATGTTTTCCGAAGTGACTCGAATAATCACTGAGAGACTTCAGGAGGAATATTTTGTGGAAACGGTCCGAAGAGGAGGTAACAAGTAGGCGTTCAACGTGCTAACAAGTTTTAACCTGCAGAAATTTGTTGTAAGGGAAGAGGGTCAGAAAAAGTTAGCCAATTGCTCGAGTCGAAATTAAGATTGAAAGTATAAGAGGAAAGGGTGCGGGAAGATTTCGGTGTAATAGAGAGGGAATCAGGGGTTGGAAAAGATGGCTAACGCGTTTAAGAGAGTCTCGCTAAGGCAGTCCCGGAGTAATTCCGTTAATAATGAAAATTAATTGAACGACGAGTTCTTTCCGTGAAATTCGAGAGTAGCCCAAGCTCGCAGGAAAGAGATAGAACCCGTACCTTTGTAATTAAAGGCCCTCCACTAGAAAGCTGATCGTCTGAAAGTTGTTCCGCGAAGGCGGAGGAACGGAGCGGTCGTTAATGAATGGCATTTTCGTTGTTGGTTTCGAATTGACCGTAAGCTCGCTGGAAAACCTGCTGCTTCTTATCTCGAACCTCGTCGTTTCTTATTTAACGCTGTCACCCGATAATTTTGTTACTCGCACCATGCGAACACGCTCGGACATTATCGAGAAGGCGACGAAGATGGAGGGTGGTTTTATTGTCGTCTTACGACGAGCGAAATGAATCGAACAGGCAGCCGAACGCGGTGTGCAAATACTTCATTAGCGTCGAATTTAGATTCAACGGATACGTAAAGGAATTTTTATTCGCGGAAATTCGAACGCTTCATGGTTGGTCGGCTCGATCGATGCCGCGTTAGAATTGTTTATATTTCAGCTTTGTCTTTGAGGGAATTTCGCGTGAAACGAACGTCGCGAGATTTCGCCGGTGAAAATTTCCTTTGTGTCGAATAACTTTGTCGTGGAACAAGTCGTTCGTGTTATTCTTCTTCTGCTTTCCATATGAATTTCAGCCTACGGGACGAATAAACGTTGAAAAGTTCCTTGAGCATGAAATACGTTGCTTGGCAAATAAGAACGACCGTTGTTTGTATCGATAAAGAGGTTCGATTATCGGGAACGAGAGAGTATATCGGTTCAGCAATTCGGATTGCTTATCGAAGCGAAACTTGTATTCGGTGGTAAACTATTTCGACCGAAACACATTTTACAATTTTTAAATTTACAAAATTTTAAATCCTTGAATTTCTGTCCCTGTAAAAATTCTCTATATCCTAAATTTCTCAACCTATAAATTTCAACGTCCTCTCTGTAGCGACGATAGGTTTCACCTCCATCACGGTCGATGTCCACGCACACTATTTTTTTAACCCATTCTACCAGGTAGATCGCCTTTGACAGGATCGTAGGACATGCATCGTTCGTTCGTTCGTTGCGTAAATCGTGGCGCGTACACATGCTAACGTCGATTAGACGCGCGCGTTCACGCCGTTAGATTAAATCACGCTCGACGCGGAACGTAGAGCCTTGGCATCAAGCGAGCCGCGTAACCTGGCCTTTGCGCTCGAGAAATACGCGTAAGAGGGAATCGTCCGACGAGCCGCGAAGCTACAAAGCCACTGTACTCGATTGTGTACAATGTGGTTTACTAGCTTCCGGTTTCTCCGACCGCGATGTCTATCGAGCATCCGATTTGATCGTGTCGGAGAAATCTTCTCCGATCATTTCCCCACTGTTTGATCACCTTTGTTCAACTCGTGCGATGCTTTGACGAGAATATTTCAAAGTAAACTCGTACAATTGTGGGAAGGTTCGACTTAGATTCACCCCCAGGCTCTTCTCAAAGTTCTTCCTAGGTTTTTCGTAGAAGATTTCCTAAGAATCGGTTTCCCCAAAATCGAAGGCAAGCGTCTTCGCTTGCATTTATTTTTAGCCGAAGGAAGCATATTTCATCTCGGTCAAACGCGTGTACGTGCAACGTAGCAAACGTTCACCTGCCAAATCTGAAGTAGAAATATTTTTCCGACGAGTCACGTCGCTAAAAGGGTTGGAATAATAAGTGACAAGCAGATATTAACCGTTCCGTCGATAAAACGTGTCGAATACGTAAAATCGACGCTTTTAGACGATGTCGGGCAGACGAATCCCGGAAACGAGCAAGCGTTCGTTCGACGATCGCGGATACATGTCAGCGCATAGCGGGTGAAATTGTCAGGCGCAGGGACGATGATGCAGGTATCATGGCGTTCGCGATAGGGGCGGCCAGGAAATCGACGGAAGTGTCAGTGTCAGTGTCAGTGTCAGCAGGGTAGAGATTTGACGGGTATTCTAGCCGTTCGCGAAAGGGTACGCTCGACAAACTGCGCGACCCAAATAACTTGAAAAGGGTTACGAAATCGACGGTCCATCTTTCGATTATTAACCTTCTCACTTGCTATTTACTCTCCTTACACGCTTCGTTCGGGACTCTCCTTTCATTGATTATTCCGTTAAACTGAATTCGAGGCGTCGGTTTGAAGTTGCAACAGTGACCCCCACGGCAGTCGACGCGTTAATTATATTCTTGGCTTTAAAGCACGGTCTCGAGGCTAGCGGTAGAGGCGGCTCGCGTGCACGCTCGAAATCCTTACAGTTTACCATCTTCTGTCTCTCTTACATCCTTACTTCCTGTATCACTCTACTTATCACAGAACATCAATTCCATTTTCTACCCACAAAGCCTGGCGCGTCGAGAGCAAAAGAAGAAGGGTAGCCAGACACTCGAAAGGGTGAGAGCGAGAAAGAGGGTGGAGACGGGTAAAGGAGTCTGGGAAACGGTCGAGGAAAAGAAAGAGGATTCAAGGAGATTTAATACCAGATAGGATTGAGAGGAAAAGATAGGACCGAAGGTAAACAGCTCCCCTAAAAGGGGCAGAATTTGTATTTTGTCACCCGTGAGCACATGCATAGCTAAGCCTGCGGCTCTGCCTCTGCTCGTCGCAACAACTGTGCTCCAGGGACGTGTAAATTTTAACTGGTCGTGCGCGCCCGCTGGAGACACTCTTATCCTCTACGTGCGTTGTATTAACTTGTTCTTCGTTTTCCTGACTTTTTGCGGGGACATTAAAGCGTCTCCTCGGGTCAGCCCTGAAAGATGCTTTCCTTCTCTGAGCTGAAACCGTCAACCCTTTATCGCAAAATTCGCCCGGAAGGCGAATAAACAGCCTAAGCTGTTAAGTGTGACTCGATTTACAGATTTGCTATCTTGACTGCTGGAAATAAAACGAGTTTACGGTACTTCTTTTTCCCGTCGTTAAGATTATCTAAACTTTTATGGACGGAAAATTCACTTCCGAAAATGGTTAGTTTTCACGTCTTCGTAGAACATCGAAGTCAAGAAAGCAATGGTCCCGAGGGAGTCGTGGGTTTTTTTCCGAGAGTCCTATGAACATTACTCGATGCACCGAAAATTCGTTGACGTCGTTGCTCAATAAACGGCAACGCGCTTAGGCAACCTCTCGCGATAAGGGTTTCACGTAGAGCTTTTAGCGGTCCTAGCCAAAGCTGCTCTCCGTGACTCAATAAGCTTTTGTTTCCATTGAAAACGTTGGACGTTGTTCCCCTGCTAGCTTCAACAAACTCGTTTGAGATATTAATCAGAGGTAGGAAGAAACAACGGATCAAGCGGTATTACGCCACCGTAGGGACTCGTATCATCCGCTTTCAGATCTCGATGCTACTCTGTTTCATCGTTGTTATATCCCGATTTTACGACTCGTGATTTCAGCTGGAAAAGGAAATGGTGCTGTGCACGATCTTTCGAGGTTCGTGTTGCTTGCTTTCAAAAAAAATATACGTCGTGCTTTATCCGTGCAAATTGATTTGAATGTTGCTGGACAATTTTTATGGGAATTTTTATCGCACCGAGTGCGATATTATGCAACTGCAATTGTTTGAGGGATTTTTTTTTATTTTGGGAAAATCATGACTGTACGGAAAGCTACGTTAAATTTCATGAAAATTTGATGTGTATTCTAATGATTCTTTTGTTGCAGGAGGGATCTCGCGGTGATCGGAAAGAGGGGGGAAAGAGGGGACGCAAGCCTGGAAGGAAGGCGTCCGAGAAGACGGATATGAAAGCCAAGCTCGGTAAGAAATTTCTCTTCTAAATGCATAAATATTTGGTATATTATATAAAAACATTCCTGATAAAATATTCATCTCTTCATACAGTTTTATCCTGATCGAAGATTCGTTAAATTACTTTATCCGAAGCTGTTTCGTGTCGGACAAGGTGTATCCATTTCCACGCTTTTGGTCGTGTTTAGTCGCGAACAATCTCTTCTCGATAGAAATCCCTCCGGTTCTCAGACGTCTTTCGAGGATCTGGCGAAGCTTTCTTCGAAGGCTCTCTTTACGGACAGCTTCTAAAAAAGAACGTCCGCGTGGAGAAAGCGGCGGGAACGTTTATTGCCGCGTAAAAGCCGAGCTTAGTGAGCCGTAGACGCGATAATAGCCCGCGACCCTTGATCGTAAAGGGCTTTATCGCGTCGCGGTCCCCGTATCGACGAGAAATTTGCAATATCCTGGCAGCAGGCTATTACGATCGATTTTGTCCGTCGCCCTGTCTTCTCCATGAATCCGTGATCGGAAACGTTGCCACAGTGCTAAACGAATAGCATCGTTACCATTCTTCAGGGGCGATATATCTTCCGTCAAATTTTAACCCTCGCACCATCTATCTTGTCACAGTTAAATCTGTTGTTTCTGTTCTTCGAAATTGACAGTCAATTCGATCTTGTATTTCTAAACCGCGATACAGAAGGTGAACGTCCTCGGAAGTATTTGAACGAAATATCGACGCCGAGTACCCGAAGTTGTCTTTAGTTTGAAGGATCTCGTCTTACTGTTTAATGTAGGGGTTTACATTTCGCAATATAAATTTGCGGTAGACAAAGTATTAACTAGTCGCACAGCCAAATATTTCTCCTGGCTACACTTTGTTGACTTTAACACGTTACCGGTATCGTGCATTTTTGCAGTCGTGACGTTGTACTCGTAGTATTTCTTGCGGCACGGTTCGACGTCGCGAATATTTCCCTTTCTCGCGGAACTCGTGTAAGAAAAGCAGAATTTCGAAAGTATCGTATGTTAGGATTTCGTTACGCTTATCTCGCAAGTACCAGACTTTGCGTCGCAAATCCCTATTTTGAATTATTAACGCAGCCTGCACACTGCACGCGTGCTGCACTTGATTTTCGCTGAAACGCGTGGCAAAAGGATCCAGCCTGCATAGCAGTGGCCTGCTTGTTTAATTTTTCTCTTAGTACCTTGTGTAGCAGTCTTCATGGAAGAATCATTTTTCTTACTGTTTATTTCAATAGGTTGTGTAAAATAAATTGAAAGATAGCAAAGTGGTGTACGTACCAGGTGTGTGCGTTTCTATACAGTTTTACGAAGCACTTCTATCGCGTCGATATCGAGGTCTCACGTTTTCGCATTTTCCCGTTTATTTTTACAGAACGAAGCCGACAGAGTGCGAGGGAGTGTCGTGCTCGAAAGAAGTTAAGGTATCAATACCTCGAAGAGTTGGTAGCCGACCGAGAAAAGGCTGTGCTTGCTTTGCGGAAGGAGTTGGAGATGGTAAGCTAAACCTTTCTCCCGCATGATTAATTTTTCCTGTTACTAAAAAAACAAATGGAAGTTACAGATTTTTTCTCGCGGGTAATTTCGTTATGTAAGAAAACCCGTTGAGTATTTTATGCAAGTACATTGTTTTAATCGAAAAAGGAGTAGGTCGCATCACATTGTACATGTACATTCTGTTTCTCGTTGCATACCGAGACCGTATAAATCTTGCGCGTAGAAAAGTTTTCACGAATACCGTGGTTGAATTATGCGTCTATTATTCGGTACAACTTTTTACGCTGCGAACGTTTTTAAAGTCCTATGTAGCCTCGATTATGCAACCGTCTTTCCAGAAGAACTACGGTTTCTATAGAAATTTCGCGGGGTAACGTTTCTATTTCCCGCGCGTTAATATCGTAAATTCCTCGGCTAAGGCAGGAATATACAGAGCGCAAAGTTTTCTTGAGGAACCATAAACATGTCGTGCACTTTTATCTTTTTATCTGGTAAGACTTCAAGTTCACGGAATTAGTTTTACTGTTTGCGAAAGCAACCCCTAACTTCGAATACGTGTACGTGTTTCGAATCGTCTCATGAAAATAGCTCCGTCATAATACGACAGGTAAGATTAAAATTTATTGATCATACAAAAAACTACCACCGGGTCGTATCGAATAAATTATTTTGCAGGTTCTCGTTTGATCCAAAACGAATGAACTTAACGAAAGAAGAGGATCCTCTCCTGCACAGCCTCCATCCTTGAATCTTTCCAGATCCTTTTCAAAGATCCCCAGAATGTCGTGGTATAATAAATAACGTCCGATCGCGTGTCACCTGTATATCATGTAACAATTGTTCGTTCTTCTTTCAGTATCGGCAGTGGGGACAAGAATTGGACGCCGGACGAGTTCCCGAAGGGCTACAAGCGATGCTGGAGGAGTTTGGCTCCTTGAAACGGGAGAAAGTGGTCAACTAACCCTGAACAGAGAAACACACGAGTCATGAACATCGAGAGCTCCGCACATTCTTTATATGTCTCTCTTTTCTCTTTTTTTCTGCGATCGTTTTCTTCTTTCTGACAAACGAGCTTTGTTTCGGCGTTCAACCGGCGTTCTTCGAACCGAAGAATACCACTGGACAATTCACGTGACAAATTCGGATTCTTCTTCAACGACTCGTTCGAGGTCTTCTGTCTGCCGCGTTTTTTTTCCACTGAACAAACTCCCATTGGGACCATCCGTGGAAACAACAGTCCTTGTCCCGCCTCGTTTCTACGATTCTGTTCTGCTTACGTACAAAACTAGTCCTCGTCTATTCCCTTTTTTCCGTTGTCTTCTCCCTGTTTCCTTTTTTGCGATAGTAACTCGCGGTTCGACGTCGTTGTTTCGTCGTTTATGTACAGCGAAATTGTTCGTGTCCCCTCACCCCTTGCCCCTTGTTATTTTTCACCCCTTAAGTTAAACTATTTTTGTTATCTTTGAGACGCAACGATAAAGCTGATCAAGTTAGCGATTCCGTAGACAAGCGATGCCACGTACCTGTGATTTTGCACCGCTGATGCTGCGTTAACGAATTTGCCATCCCATCTGTTGGGATATTTACAAATCTCTTTTTGTAAACAACGTAGCGTTCAAACTCGCATCGACGATACGAAATATAGCAACGTTCGTTCCGTTGTGATTTCTTGTCGTCGTGCGTTAGTTGCTCGACTTGACGCGTATGGCGAAATTAAAAATATACGTCTCGTATAGCTCCATCGGCGCGGAATCCCAACGACAAAAATTTCTCTTCTACATCGAGTCAGTCATCGTTGCAGCGACATCACAAATAGGTATATACCTCTTTCATCGTGATTGTTAAGGAGAATATGAACAGACAAAAAAACGTTTATATATCCCTGTTACGCGATGAACGATCGTTGATCGCTGTGTATCATAGTCGGAGAGATAAAGGTAACGTAGTATTCCCTGTTCGGTGACTCTTGTCATTCTATAGGTGTATTCGTTGAACGATTTAGGCCTTGCTATTGTCACTTCTTTTCTCATCGAATTATCGCCAGGAGCGTTTTCCTTAATTTCGATTTTAATTTGGACTCGCTGACGCAAGCGAGGGACGTTTTTATGGAAGCGGTATTTTTATAAGACGGTGTAAAAGCTATCATTTTGTACAGATTATTGATATTTCGGAAATATATATATATTTATATATATATAGAAGATATATCTGGAGAAAGTCTAGTGAACGAATAAAATGAATATTTTTAAAGAAACTTATTCCGTTTTATATCCTGACCAAATTTTTGTTCTATTCTGTTAATGTAGTTTTCTTTTCGGTACGAGCGAACAATGCGTTAGAAATCGCCATGCAAGTGGAAAAGAGACGATTAATCGGACAATGGTGTAGTGGAGCCAAAATTTTGAAAATGTATTTGTCTTCTGCGCCATTACAGGGATAGAAGTCGGGCAGTTTTGTATGCAAATGATATTTCGAACGTTACAATTTTCCGTTACATTCTGGGTGAAACGCAAATTTGCATATTTTGCCCGTGAAATATGTTCGACACGAAATCTCTTGTTCGATTTACGCAGATTGCAACGCAATCTCGTACTGATATTATCCGGCGCGTCGAAACAATGTCACTACCGTATGATAAAAGAATAAAAAACTAAAAAAGTGTGGAAAGGAAAAAGGGAGGAAAAAGCGATCAGTATCGCTGGCTCGTATATCTGCGAGCGCATGCAAAATGTAGCTATTGAAGTCTTCCTGACCGAACCAGGCCAGGTCAAACGGTAAAAGTGTCGGTAATAATAATAATTGAAAGATACCAGCTGACCCGCATACTAAGAATAAAGTATTATTTCAGTGGTCGAATGAAGTAGCGCGTGCGTTATTCAAACGAGAAGTTTGAAAAAGATACTGATCCCTCGATATTTAACTTCGCGACGAGCAAAAAACGTGAACGAATAAAATCGATCGCGTTCATATAAGGATCTCATCTTTTTTTCAGAGATACTGCAGCGAACCCGTCGGTATCCAATGAAAGGAAAATTGGTTTTTTAATTTATATCTTAATTTTAGCCGGTATTATTAGGAAAGCTATGACTACTGTCGCATAAATCCTGAACGTTTCCCATTTTTAAACCCCCGGATGCATTCATCTCGCAAAAAAGAAATTAATAAAAAGCCGACAGTAAGGACATGAAATTACGAATAAAAAGGGTGCAGTAATTCTATAATCTGGTACAATGCTCGAGAGCTTTTTTTCTGGTCGGCTTTTACGAGGTCTTAACTCGCCCGCGTTATGAATTTGAAAATGTATCAGCAGGCCGTAAAATTTCTGTTCATTTTCAGCGAAATTAAGACAGTTTAATACGCTCGAACGGACGTAATCGCGGCTGTTGGAACTTCAACCGTGAAAGTATCCAATAAAATACTATTTTATTATCTGTGCTTTTCCGCTTGTTCACGGTTACCGGGTATCGTTTCACGCGTGTTTTCTCATAAAGTTTACATTCTATTTCCTGGGATTTCGACGCGTGATACTGTCGCGCAGCACCGCTGGATATTCTGTCAGTGTATATACAAGAAAATATTGCTACGATCTAACGCACTGCTGCGACCAGTTGTTCGAAACGGTGCGTAAGTTTGGAGTTCGGTACGTTTTTATAACTTTCATGAAATAAAATGCTACTAGTTCATGGTGTCGTATTCTGGGCGATGTCGTGAAGAATATGTCCTGCACAATTCCTTGTGTAACCTCTTTGAATGTCTCGAATTATGTCGCAATGAAAAATAATACGAAAACTTTTGTTCTTTTAACAATCTATATTCGAAACACTAATGCAGCCCCGTTCGATCGTCTTCGTTTATAAATTTCTGAAAGTGCAGAATGCATGAGGTAATAACAATCTAGTTTCTCGTGAAAGAGCAAGAAGTGGCTGTTCTTTGTGGGATACAGATCAAACAAAATCTTAAGCGAGCCTAAAGCTCTCGAGGGACCTTCATTCTCAAAGGCCCCGGCTGAGTACATATTTTATACACCGTAGTCCATTTCTTGTATCCTCCTTTGTGACCGAAATATTCGACCCGCCAATAAATGAATTTTTTAACGATTTTATATTCTTTCGTCTCAGGAAAATAGACATTTTCGATTGTTTCGTTTGGCAATTTAATTTTGGAAAGCGGGTCGTTGCAAACTCATGCACCTCTTTTCTCAGATGACATATTCGTAACTCTGCCATCTTTCTTTATAACTTTTCATACTTCATTCGCATAAGATAATCTGCACGAAGCAGAATTTCACAAAGTTTCAAATGTTACAATTGAATTTCATGAAAAGATTTTGAGTGCACATGTTTTACCAAGATATCGTTAAACATTTGCACCGTATGTAAAGAAACGGTTTTCCAATTTGACCGATTTACGATTGACCGAATCGTAAAGCCCTTACCTAGGCAGGATCACCCAGCCCGATATTTGATTCTCTATCGCGTTAGCCAAAAGCAAACCCGGACGACGCAGCAAATTGCGCGTAAACCTGACACTAATTTTCCGTTCGGTTTACGCCGTCTACCACTCGATACCTCATCTCGCCATATCTCGAAGGTTAAAATTCAGACGAACCGTTTGATGGTTACCATTCGATGCACGTGCCTGACTCGTTCGATCTCGGAGAACGTCACCTGGCTGATCATAACGTTATCTATTCCATTTCGTAATTTACGATTCAACGAAAGTTCCCGAGCCGTTTGGAACTTCTGTTCTTGCAAATCGTCGGCAGGAATCCGGCACAGACGAGAAGTATCGCTACTGGAATTCCATAAGTCGGGCAAGAAGTATAACTCCGGTATTATTCGTAGCGGTATTAAAGGATAAAATTTATAGGTCGAGTTTCGGTTATAAACTTGGCAGATATTTCGCCGAGAACGAAACAATGGTCTCTTGCTGTTACTTTTTTAAAGCTCTTCGATATTCTTTCTTGCTCGGTGCTTTTTCGGTGTAATTGGTAAAGGGTAGGTTTAAGTAGAAGATTCGGGAGGGCAGAAGAGAGAATTCGATAGTAACGAGGGAGTCGAAGAAATCCACTGCTCGTTCAACCATGGCCCGTCGACGGAAGAAGCTTAAATGGTTCTTGCAGCGACCAACCAGGGTCTAAATGTGTCAAAACTTTTTAACGAGCTCGTTAAGCAGCCACAAACGACGAAGAATTAATTATCACCGAAAGGACGACGCTGTCCCTTCGGCCTACCTTTCTCTTCCTTCTTCGCAAACTTTACGCGACACTTTCGATCAGTGGACACTTTCAAACGATCGGGGAACGAAAACTTATTATCTTCGCGGCAGTCGGATCGAAACTTTTGTTAACTTGTTTAAAAAATTCTTTACCACTTTGCTTATTTGGAGAATTGTCGAGCAAATTAATTTCAGCTATCAAACGATTAATACTTGCGCTAAGTAATAAAATCACCGGCTGAAAACGAACTCCGTTAGATAGGTAAATCGATTCGACCGCGATTTTGCGCAGGATTCGATTGATTAATTCGATTGATAGATAATCAAGCCATTATCAAATCTACCGTCCGACAATCTAATCAAGCCTCCGGGCGGGATTTACAGCACGTACGATTCCGAAATGCCAATAAACCAGGCCCGCGTTTACGATTTCAACGTGTACTTTGCACCTGATTGCTTCCCTGCGCGCTGTGTGAATCACCAACGAGCCTCTGCCCTTTGTTACTTGTAAATTGGCGAATCGATGCACTCGATTCACAACCAGCCCGTTTACTTGCTCGATGTGCTTGCACCGCAACGACTTCCGTTGATGTCGAAAATTATCGCGACGCGTTGACCGTTTCGTAATCGACGCAAGAAATTTACTTCGACCGAACGATTTCAATTTTAATTTCAATGTAGACCTTTTCTCTCGCGCGGTGTATACACGCGTTACGTTTGTATTACCACTGGAGTCTTCTATATTCTTCATCATTGTAGTCGATTCAGTATGAAAGGGAGTAAGGAACGATGGGAAAAGAATAAAGCAAATAATTTTAGTTTAACAACGACCATATTCGATTTGTCGTCAATTTATTTCCGGTTTCAGTAACGCTTGAAATGTTAGGATATATTCACGAAACTGACGCTTCGTTGATCTCGACTACTTGCACACGAATGGTCGTTCAGTCGATACGAAACAAGTTTTTCTTGATTTTCTTTTAATCGAAACATAAACGGCGAGTTTCGAACGACCCGCAGATTCTCGTACTTAAAATTAACGACCAGATGCATCGATGGCACGAGGGAAGTTGATCATTTTCTTTTTCTCCTTTATGCAGTCGTTAAAATTTTGACTATATTAAAAGTTTCTTTAGCGTAAAAACATCGTTAAGAAAGGATATTATCAGTGCGTTTAGTAGAATACACGAGTCTTAGAGTGTTTAGAATGAATGAGACGCCTTTCGAGAAAAAAAATGTCGTTCGTGAACGTGATTACACATCGACGCGCGTGTCGACGTCAACTTCGATCGTGCAAAATCGTAGGAAAGTTCTCGTTGACGGAGTCAACGATTGCGGCTCTCTCGAGTCTAATGTAACTAGATCTTCCTTCGATCAAATCGGCCGTTTCAATTTTTCCGCCGCGAGTAGGAATCCGATCGAACAATTTGGAATACACGACTGTGGTAGAATCTACGTCATCCAAGTGCAGAACTTAGGGTTCTTGCTACTTCGATACTTTTATTTTCTTCAGGAATTATTTCTGTTAACCGAATAACTTTTTTAGCAATTAGGGTAATGGACCATTTCACCAATTTGTATGTTCGAGGTGTGAAGAGGGTTCTCCGTGTTCCAATAAACCTCAAATTTTACTTTTTATTATCGGAAATTTTTGAATGTTTACATTTCCTTAGTAATTCGGGTAATGGAAGTTCCATTCGTCCAATTTTGTATGCATACCGAAGTGCACACAGGTGGTTTTGACGCGTTCCAATTCCAATAAATCCAAAATTTTATTTTCTGTTTTTGCAAGATTTTCGAATACTTATATTTACCTAGCAATTTCGATAATGGAACTTCTCAGTTTCTTGCAGATATCTGCAATACATGATTTTTTTGATTATCTAAAAATTTCCGGAATACTTCTGTTCAGTAATTTGGATAATGCAGGTTCTATGTTTGCCGTTGTTCGATTTCATAACGATTACAATCGTGTCCCCGTTAAGGCCGATCTGTTCCGTAGGAGGATCAATATGTTCTTCGACTTCAGGTACCATATGTACAAACATTTTGCTCACTTGCACGCGGTCTCACTCACACGCAACACAGTTAAACATCCACGCATTCGTATCAGTGACAATAGGTCACGTTCTGTGTCAGTCGTTCGCGAGATCGATCGTTATGTGTACATATTTATACATAATATAATTAGCATATTGACTAGAACGGTTTTGGTTCCAGCATCGACGAGGAAATCGTTCGGATTGAATACGCTTTTATTCCTCGGACGTCCGTGTAAACGCGTTGGTCTTCGAATCGCAGGAAAAACGCACACGATTCCATCGTTCTCTTTTATTTTCGCAAAAACCTATCATTCCTCTGCGAAGGAACACACTCTTCCGCTAGACGACCTTTCACCGGTTCTCGCTTGTCAATGTCGCGCCTCTTCGAAGGAAATCGAGTTTGCCTATCTACTTACGTTCGTACACGGCCGAGGATCATGGCTGACGCGAAACGGAGAAAAGAATCGAAAGGGGACGCGTCGAGACACCCGAGCCGTCCTTCGCAGATGCTAGAATTCACGAGTCGAAGTGCTTTCGAAGAGAGTTTGGTTCGCCATGACCGTTTCCTCGATTCCCCTCTACCTTCATCCTCTTTTTCTTCGCTGTACTCGATCCTTTCGATATCCTCGCTACGGCGCCATCAGTCGTTTCACGTTGTAACGGCAGTAATCCCGACCTATTATGTCCTCGTGCGGAATTTCCTCCTCCAGTGGTTCTATACCCTCCGCTGCCATGTCGTCGCGAACCTGCGACCAACAAAAAAACCTTATTCGTTCTTTGGATTCATTAACCCATTTATTGCCATGAACTCGTTTGAGAATCTCCCCCATTTATCTCGCTGGAACCTCTTTTCTTTTACGTTTGTGCAATAGCAATAAATTTAACGCTTCAAAATATTTTGCTCGAGGTCATTTTTATACTTTTTGCTTCTCATTCTAATTACACGAGGTTATGCCTTTAGAATTTTTCCAGTATATCTCTTTCTCTTTCTCGTTGAATTAAACGAGAGTTGACAGTCAACGAGCGAAGGAAGAAGGAATTTGTCGATAGGAGGGATTTTAAGGAAAAAGTCAATCAATTTTGACGGTGGTCCGGTGAAAGTTCCGGCTCGTGAGGTGCACATGGCGTCGCGAATATTCTGAGGAAAAATCACGCTCGACGAGAAAAAGGGAATGTTCGCGAGAGGTTGTATGGCGAAAGCCATGCTTGGCGTAGGGAAAAAAAGTTCGCGGTGCGCGTATTTCATGCGACCCTGCACAACCACCATCAATTTTCGGTAAGCCCATTAACCTTCCACGACCATTACGGTACGGCCGAAGCTTTCGTTGCTGTTCCGTAAACGCGTAACCGATGTTCACAACTTTTTTCCTGTGCCTACACCCGCTACCCTCTTAACCTCTGTCTTTTCTGTCTTTCCCGCGTGTTTTTGCCGTTTAATCGTTTAACGCTAATGACTCGTAGACCCCGCGTTATCTCCGGAGCAGGGAAATTTTAAATACCATAATATTTCAGTAACAACGATGTCAATTTGCGAAATTAGAACATGACACCCTTAACGGTTCTTATCAAATTTTATCACCGTGCGACAGTCGTTTTCTCAGCTGCGAAAGGGTAGTACCTGGTTCACGACGTCGCGAAAAAAGAAAATGAGCTTGTAACAAATGCCGGTGGTTCTTGGGTTCCCTAATCAAATCCACTTTTATCGCTGCCTTCGCAGCTACCGTAACATCGCGATAAAGCATCCCCCGGCGACATTACAAACGTTTCGTCGCGTAATGCGTGCTCTTTTTTCCTCGTCCACGTACGTTTTACCTTCAAATTGAATTTTCTTCCCTTTCTGGTCCTCTCGCTCGACGCATTTACCATCGCGAAACACTGCGAGGAATCGTCAGGGAAATTAAAATGTTAATGGACGATTTCTTAGCGAGTAAAACAGACTGTTTTGCGAGATGGATATTATCCATAAATTCCGAACGTTTTTAATCAAACGCACCATTATTTCTATCTTTCACCCGTCCTTGATGAATCATTACGAGTCCTTTCGCGAGTGCAGTGAAATGCATCGGCGATTATTTTGCTTCCAAACATCGCGATGAACGTAAACGGTTTTCCTTTCCGATCGCGTTTCTTTGTCAGACTCCGATGCAACTTTTTTCTGCGGTAGTAACGATTTTCGATGGCTATAATTCTTGCAATGTTTTATTTCGTACACAGAATATCGTACAACTGGTACACGAATTAACTATTACGATAAATAATTATTTGAACATAATTCTATGAACGCCATTGTAGCAGTTGCAATCAACAGATCTCGTTAATTAGAGCCGTGATTAGGTATACCTGTATCAAACGTATTAATTGAATCGAATTTATGGCAGATTAACGATAATGAAAATTATTTGCAATAGCTGTGTATATTTCTGTGGGTTACTGGTTATTGTATCATTTCCATTGCATCACTCAATGAGTCAATTTTGAAAGAGTTCTCTGAACCGTTAATTCGACTATAAAAAGTTATAGTTAATAATTATGTACCAGTAATTACTATGCATACACGGTGTTCCTTGATCGGTGTATTTTGTTACGCTATTCCCAGGGCGTTCACCCACAATTTTCCTGCATCCTTAATCCCAGAAAAATCCCGGAGCTTTCTGTTTCCAGAAACAACGGTGTCACCGTAGCCAGGATGCAATTAGCGCGAGACAATGCACCCCGTAAAGTAATTGTATCCAGGAACGAGGTTCAATTTTCCAAGAAATCTTCTTCACACGGTGTTCATTGGTCGCGCGAACAACGGTAGCTGAACGTCCATTACGTTTCTCATTAATTTTTATCGTGATCGTAAGAAGTATGATTAACGTAGTCTCGAATTTCAGCCTGTCTTGGCGAAACAGCACCGACGAAATTCAATTTCCCCGTTGGAATTTCGTCGCCGTCGTTTCACTCGGTACACGACAGAATGGTCTATTGTTTTAACAATTACTACGTTTCTCGCGTTCGGTGACGAACACCGGCACCATAGAGAATTCTGGATCCAGTCGTAGGAAGGGAATTAAAATCGTCGAGAGTTAAAGGTGTGCACCTGCTAAGATGTACTCGGGCTTTCCTTTCCTTTTACGAGCTACGAATTAACGTCCTAGCTGCGAAGAAGTCAGGTTCGCGCAACTTCTTCCGCGCACCGGCAATCATTCTGGAAACTGTTTCACTCTACCGGTAATTTGCTTTTCCCATTTTCCTTGCGCGAATTTCTCTGTTTCGAGACGTTTAATCGAATCGAACCGCTTATCTTTTTCTGGTCGACTATGAATCTTGACTCGAGTCTGTTCCTTCAGCACTTTTGCAATTATGGGGTAATAAAAATATCTACTTTGATGGAACGGTGTCGTAACATAATATTCCAGTTCTAATTATTAGCAAAACATTATACCAGAACAGGCTCCTGGGTTAAATTGTCATTGTGATTTTAGTGACATCGTGGAGGGTCGTCAAATAATGGTACACGTAATTTCTCGGTTGTAATTCAATTAAACGTTAACACGTGGCACAGTTTCGCGTTAGAAAAGGTCAACTAATGGAACGTGCACGCCTGTCCCTGGTAGACTGGTACAAATCATAGAAGAGAGACGGTGGTTCGAGTAGGTGAAGGATCGAGCCAGCTGATTCTGGGATTGGCAGTAGTCCAAGGGAACAAAAATCGCCCAGCCGTCTTGCTCGACGATACACCGGCAAACGCGTGATTTGTGTGCTTTATTAAATTCGATATTGGTCGGCTTGGCTAACCCGATTTCTGGTCATCGGATATTTCGCTCCGCAGACCCTTCTGTGTTCTCTAGTATTGCGAATTCAATTTAGGATAGTGTAGAACGTGCAAGGATTTTAATTACCGCGAGGAACCACGTGTGGTGGCTACCGATTTAAATAAAACATCGGATCTAAACGCGTATCGTCAGATTGTCAAAACTCGAGTATTTTCTTTTGCGTTCAGAGAACTACAAATTTGTAGTTGACAGAGACTAATGTTTAACGAGGTGTATTTTTTAAAAAAAAGATGTGGATTAGAAATAGGGAAACGTTCACCTTCTCCACCGCTTTGAACACGCGAATCAGATTGAGCCCAGCCAGCTTTCGGATGTCTTTCTCCGACCAACCGCGCGCCAACAACTCCGCAAAAAGCTCCGGGTATTTGCTGACGTCCTCCAGGCCCGTCGGTGTCCTGAAACAACCAGATCGTAAAACGGTTTCATTTAGAAATGCTTCGGGCGTCGTGAACGTCGAATTCGTCGATTAATCTCGCTGGTTCGTACACAGACGGGTAACAAGTTTCTTCTTTTCTGTTTTTGCGATTTGCCGATGTCCGATAAAAGGACTCCTTTCATCTCGAACGTCGCTGTTTACATGAATATTTCTTTACGACGGAACAGTATATTAATGAAGCCGCCGCATGGCGGGAGTTTAAATTAGAAAACTGCTCGAAACTTTTTACAAGAGCTTTTCGTATAGCCTCGCAACGTGTACACTCCATATTACTCGCATAATTTTCCTGCGCGTAATTCTTCGAAGAAAGTTTAATCTATTACGTTTTTCCGCGTTTCTTCGTTGCTTAACGCTCAGTAGGAGACCGTGGATGACCCCGTTAACGCGTATAAAAATTCGCCAGCGAAAAAATTTGCAACTTTCGTCTCTGCGGGAATTTCACCGGCCTCATTTGCATCGCTCTTTCAATAACGTATTCGCTCGATCTCTTTTCGTACGTTACACCGCTCTATACCGGGTTTATAGAACAAATTAACTTTGGATCAATTTCGAAGAACCAAAGAGGGAAGTTTACTCGAAAAAGTTTAAATTATCGAGTTCCCGAAGTACGAGGTAAGAAACTATGATTGGGACAAAGCTGTCCAATACAAATTCGCGGCTAGGATAACGAGCTTGTTGGAAGAGAGAAGCTGTCGCGAATAAATTACGATTCTCCTCGGGCGGTTTATTCCTCATTACTCTAATTACTATTAGAGCGAGTCGCTTGATGGCTCGAGCTGCGAGGTTCTTCGCAAGCTCTACTGCTTTACGAACCGAACGTTTGTGAAATTGTGCCACGAGGTCGAGCTTTTGCATTTTAACGACTTCGGTTAAGAGTCCGCGGATAAGTTGCCGGATAATGAAAATTGACGACTATACACGCGTATTTTCTTTCCTGATTATTAATACGCTATCGAGGTCGACTTTGTTACTTCCTCCTATTCGAATATATCGATGCACTCCGTCTTAAATTGCACGATTGTTTTACAGATGTTTATTGTTGCATGACCCACTCATTACCAACAAGTTATTCTAACGTAAACACATCTTAATCATAGTACCAGCTAATCTAGCCTCCTGTACCCTGTTATTCATCCTGTCCCTTGTACTTTGACCATTCTTTGACCACCGATTACCCACTATTACCGTTATATATATTTGTAACGAAAAACTCTTCGTCAGATTTCTGTAGTCAGTACCAGCGTGCGGTTCTTGCCGTTTGTCAAATAAACTTATAAGTTCTAAAGTGCTGGTTTTAATTCCACAACCCGGAATTCAACATTATATTTCAGCACAGTCGTGCATTCTTACTTCTTGATTAAGTATGAAACGTTAACGTTGTTTAGTAGATAAGAGCATGTTGATCGTACGAACAGTATGACAGTAATTTAATAGGCAAATCGTGGTCAGGACATTACAGGCAAATTGATATTCGTTCGAAATCATGCACACGAAGAGAAGATCGGTCAACTAATTTGTACGCGGTCGATGGCATAGGGATGTACGAACGAGCGGATATTCACGGCGAATTAGAGTCTGATCAGTCTGAATTTCGACGTTCTCATTACGCGCGTCATAACGAGCACCAGAGAAGGGCTAGCGTCGACAACGAGCGTTGCAGAACCGTTGAAAGCTACCTGCTGACAATGTCGGCCCAACAAGAGCGGTTAGAGACTTATTCATGGCGCGTCATATCGCGGCTGAAACTGGCAGTTATGCAGCTGTGTATTGTGTACAGACATCGACTGTCTGCGGTCACGAGCGTTGTTTCAATCTCGGAAATTTCCAAATCGAGTGCGATGCTTTTTACGAAACGACTGTAAACGATGGCCATCGGTCCGTTTCATCGTTGTTTCGAAGCTTCTCTCGTTTCTCGCTACTTTCTGCCGCTATCGTCGCACTATAACTTCAGCTATATTGCAAATATTATCTTTAACAGCATACTCGCTTGGAAAACAGAAATCCAAGAGATTGCGTTTCTCCAAGTTTCAGATTTGATGATGTAAAGTTACCTAACATCGAATTGAAGTTTAATGAAAATATCTGTGTGAAGAGTTTATTAACCTTTCGAAAATATCTTTCTAAAATGGTTGATCGTCGCTTAAGTAATGGCCGAAACATATGAAGTCTGATTCAGTGACACAAAAGTAATACAAAATGGCAGTAACACAAACGTAACCGTGATACGTTAATAGGAAAATGTAGCGTAATTGAAGGCAGTACCCGATGCGAAAGTTTGCAATCTGTGGATCGTTCTGGGAGCATTTTTTGCTCCCTAAGGAACGAATAACAATTACGTACGTCGGTAGCGATCGGAATTGAGGGTAGGTAGGAGGGAAAGAAAGATATAGAGCGCGATAAAATACTGGCCGTGGAAAATTGAGCCGAGACGAGATTTATCGGAGTCGTTTGAATGGCGCCTGGTCGAAGCTTGTCGCGTTGCTCGTTGCTCGTTGCTGGTTGCTCGTTGCCCGAACGGTATTCCGGTCCACGATATTTCCAATTCCCCGTGCTTTCCATCCAGTTCCACGAAGGGAATGGAAACGTGCACGCGCGAGTACGCGGCGTGTTCGCGCGATTTTGTCAGGGATCCATACAGTCGGTTCTACAGGAATCTGGTTACGAAAAAGGGGAACGAAACGCGACAAAGCTCTCCCATTCGCGTGGACACCAGAACTGCATCACGACCATCTTTCTCCGCCAGTCTTCCGTGCACGCGATCAACGCGAAACCAAAAATCCTATTCGAACGCGAAGATACATTTCGTCCCGCCGTTCTGACAGTGATTTATAGACGAGGAATGAAAAGGAGAGGAAAAACGACGATGCAGTGGAAGAAACGCTGAAGGGATCGATACCGAGACCAGCCACCAAGAAAAGAAAAATAGGATACGCTTTCTCTCGATCATCCCCGATATCGATGCTAATTGCGTCGATTACGAGATATAGCTATGATCGATGATTACTGAAAACGAGAGGAGTGAAATCCATTTTAAAATAAAAACGAGAGGCTCTATTTTGGGCTACTTTCAAATTCGTTTGACGTCATTCTATGGTTTGCTTTTAATTTTTTAGCGAAATAGAAATATTTTTCTGTGTTCCGTATCGCGTATCGAATTCGTGTTGTTTCCCCGTTGATACTAATTTCTGTGTCGCCGAGATATCGACACAAGTAATTAACAAATTACAAGTTTAACGTACTCGAGTTAACGAAGAAGTAGCAAATTAAAGCGTTGTACCGGAAGTTACGAAGCAGTAATGAGAAATTTGAACGCGACGGTGCGGCAAATCGCGTCGATTGGAAAGACATTTAATTGAAAGGGACACGTAACGAGGAGGAAAAAGTAGATTCGAAACATTCCTGAATATTCGGCGACAAAACGAGCCGTATCGAGATATCGTGTAACCATGGGCGAGATGATCGATCAATTAAAATAACTTGTCGGCTGCACACACATTTTTCTGGAGAAACAGCGCGGACCGTTAACTAGAACGGAAAACTGGGACATTGGCTAATAACGAACTGTACAAATTTAACAAAGTAATTATTGGAACAATTTCGTAGAAGAGACCCGATTTGCGAATCGTTGGAACGAGGATAAACGCCGATGGGTATCGTTCGCTTTTGCAGAATCGCTGCTCTGATCGAGTATCCTTAACGAGCACCGCGAAATAACGATACGAGAGGGTTAAGTAAACTCAAATAAGCGAGATCGACTAATCGCGAGAAAACTCGGTTCAACGGAAAGTCAACGGTTCAAAGTTTAACGAACTGATCTACTGCTTGTTTTGCCGCGAGAACTTCTGTTTCAACGTAAAACCATTTCGCGTCGTTGTTTAGAATATTTAAAAAAAAATAGTTCGTTGCACAAAGAATAATAGGAATAATAAAGAGTTTTGAAAAAAGCGGCGAACGCGAGGTAACATCGAATCGATAAAACCCAATATTCCCGTTAATTACGTAATTCGACAGGCTTTTAAGCGGTGTTAAAATTTACGTTAATGCAATATCAAACGGTCTTCCTGCGCTTTTAACTACATTACGATGTATTGAAGTATGTATTTAACAACATACTGTGTAACCATATTAATTATCCTGTAATAACGTCATTACATATTTATTATTTCATCAAAAGCACCAGGACTTGCACCATTTTCGACAGTATACGGTAAATGGTACGCGAAAGAAAAAGTAATGATCCCAAAATTGCTCTTAACGAGTTATGAATAAATTTCGAATGCGATTAAAATTTATCCAACGGCTAATTCCGTGGAGACCTAAGAGGTTTAGGGCTGCGGCGAGCCTCGAAACAACCCTTAATCTAATGGCGTAATTAACTGTAGCTGCGAGCAATTTGTGGCTTCTCACCGTAGAACGCCCACGACAATCGAAGGTGTACAATTAATCTTAAAATTATTTCCAAAATCGCATGTTACCTTTTAAAAAAAACTACTGTTTTATCCCATCTACTGTTTTAAAACCTGATCATCATGATTTACGAGGAGCGATCCGATTTTGAAAAGTAAATGAAGTAATCAAATAAAGGTGGACGGAAATAATGAAATTCGCGAAGCGATATGGTAATTTACTAGATCTTTTATCGGCGATTTGATTTATTTTTCAATCAACGTTTAACTCGTCAAGTTGCAGCAGCAGATTGCGAGCTATTCGATCGGTAACAGCGGCACATTCTTTTTCTTCTAACTCGCGTTTTCTTTTTTCCTACTGCTCCACGTGCAATTTGCGTCTCTCCCGTTGCCACGTTGTTTTTTATCCCTTCCAGCCGCACTTTGCCACGCCCATACGTGTTTTTCGCGCGGATTTCGAAAGCCCCGACAACTTTTTAGCAGCTGCTGTCCGCACCCTTTTTTTCCGTTTCCCCTATGCTGCTTCTCTATTTTTTTCTCCCCTTTTTTTGGCGCGGTTTAATGGCGAACGCTCTGATTTCAGCCTCGAGCGGGTATAACGCTTCGCAGTCTCGCAAACACGATCCACCGATATCGTGTTTTGCCCGTTTCTTTTGCACCTCCGTTTCTACCATAAATTCAGCGATCTCGGCTCGTTGAAAAACTCGAAAACTTCAAGTTTATAGCGTACGTCGCATAATTAGTTCCCGAATTAATATACGATAACACAGTTAACAAATTCTGTGAAAAAAATATTCCTGTATTTATACATTTGTATATCTCTAATAAAAGTGAACCGAAAGATGTAGATAAAATCGACCAGTCGACAGCAAGTTGTGCAACGAGACACCCCGTTCGAATGCAGCGTTGTATCGTGGTTTAGTGAACATGCAGTTTGAATGGTCTCGTATGTACCTGTATATTTGCTAGCAGAGAGCTTAATGCAAACAAAATGAGCCAACGCAATAATAGCACGCTATATTTCCAGTTGAAGCTGCTTTCAGCCCATCTCGAGTGTTCGCTCGGTTATTTCACCTACTATTATCTTCGGTATAAATAAAACGGAGTTACGCGAAATGGCTTGTAACGCAAGTCGATCGTACTAAATATTTCACCGCGTACTGTAACGATAAAATATCCATATCCTTCACTGTTATCCAGGGATACGCAGGTTTTTATAAAAGAATCTCGATGCAATTTCATCGCGAAACGGTCTTAAAACTATTTCGTCGGAAACGCTCGTAGAAAACAGAGGCGGTTAAGAACCAGCTGGAAGGTCGTCGATCGTACGTTTTACCTCGGTCGTGTTACGTTTTTACGGGGCACCGGTCAACGCTTCGTGCAAGCGTTAAAAACCACACGTGCTTTATGGCCGGGGTATCTCGTAAATCGCGGATGGTACAGGAGAAAACAAGAAGGGCGGTCAAGAAATTGTTGCGTTTCTCTTCCTTTTGGCTCACTGATTCTCCGTGCGTTCGTTAAAATTCGCTCATTTGTTGCGCCTCGCTCGCTTTCTGCCAGCCGCGTGATTTATTGCTGCCAGCCTCGTAAGCGCATTTTTACGAGCACCGCGAATAATGCCAGCAAAATTATGGAAATAACGATGTCGAGTATCGTGCTACATAAATTATTATTGTTTTAGGCGAACGAACGCTGTAAACAGCTTTATAGCTTCGTTACGAATTTAACTTATTACATCGAATATCGATTACGTTCATTACTCCTTTTAGACTCCTTAACTTCAAAAATTACAAGCTCATACGAGCACATCGACAGCAAGGAATTTTTTAATGAACTAGTTATTCTATTATACTGTTATTTTTCATTCTGGAACCAGTACCACAAATTTAGGTTTTTTTTTTTTGAATTTAACCCTGTGCAGGCCCCTCTCAGGCACCATTCTACTAATTCTATAATAGTGCTCGTGTGATGTATGATCACAGTGAAATAGATAATGGTGGAAATTATTAATAACCTCAAAAGAACTCATTTAACATTTTAAAGTTGCTGTTTGCATACAATAAAATTATCTTCGAGCGAAAAGGGTTAAAATTTGCACAGGACTAGAAATTTAAAAAAATGTTGCATATCTGCTACCAACTGTATAAAAGTTTTATAAGGAAATATGAAAGAACTTACAGATTGATCCCATCATATCCAGCACCTATTCCGACATGGTCAATTCCGGCGACAGTTCTCACGTGATCGATATGAGCTGCAACAGAAGAAAATAGGCAACTAAATTCGACATAGCCAAACTTAAGTCGGCGCTGAAATATCATTAGTATCTGGAATATTCTTTGCGTTTCCGTTCCACGAGCATTTCATTCGATGAAATGGTCAGCCAGCGTGTTAAGCGGTCAGAATTGTTGCGTTGCAGCCATGCGACGAGCAGCGTGCAACGAGGAATCAATCATGATGGTAATATTGTCAATGGGCTAACACGAGCGAGCACACAGCCGAAATTATTACCACGAGTCAGTTTAACGCGACGCTTCCTGTTCGTGAGCATAATTCTCTCGTCGTTTCCTCCGCAATGCGAACGATTTAGCGCGAACGGAAATGGATCGTTTTCAACCTCTCAGAAGGGATAATTGCCGATCAAAAATGTACACGCTTCGAAATTATTTCCACTGTTTCTTGAATTCAATTACCTTTCTCTTTTCGTTTCGTGATTGCCAAGTTGGTATTTGCGAACGGTCTTTACATCGTGACAAATCGAAATCTGTTCATTGTTCGAGCCATTGGCACCTCTGTGTCGTTTTTTCCTCCCTTGGCATTCTCTCGAAACAACGTTAAACGTCAAACACGTTTCTCTTCGAACTTCCTCTTTGAGAAGTTTAAAAGAAGTTGTTGACTGTCACACGCCAACGATTCGATCTAGTTTCGAAAACGAGTTACGTTCGACTTCCTGTACTACGGGTATCTTTTTAAATTTCTTCGTTCCATGGAATATCGACCAAACGGAAACGTATCAACGATGGCAAAAGGTTCCAACGCTGACAGATTCGATCGAATCTTCCTCTCATGACGTTCGTGTCTCATTATCTGTTCCGTCGGTCTCACGTGTCTCCACGTCCAAGATTCCAAGTGAAACTTTTACGTCGGCCATTCGGATTTTGAAAGACTCGGGGATTTGAGAATTAATAAATTATACGGGATTTTATAAATTTGAAGATATGAGAATTTATAAATTTTAAGATCGTAGAATTTTCAATAATGAAGATATAGAGTCCGAGTATCTGAAGATTTGCAAATTTTAGAACTAGTTCCAGAAGTAGAAAATGGAACGTAAATTTGACGATCCGACGTTTCATGACTCGAAATTTGGAAATGAAAATATACGAGGCTGTTCCGAAGCGTGTTGGCAGAAGTTTCGCAGGGAAAACATGTTCGCGACGAAGGGAAGCAAGATCAAACGGGCGTACCGCTGAAATCCGTAACACCTGGGGGAAAGCTTAGCGCTGCGGTAGTGTTCCCAACATTTTTGTTTTTTCACCGCACAGGGACCACGATATTTGCTTGCTGCTGGATGCATTTCGTTATTCCCAGCGCCGCGACACACCAAGTGCGAAGGTTAACACGGAACGCGCGAAACTGGTAATCCCCGTGCCGGTGTTTCACTTTGTGGCTTGAAAAAAAATCACCGTGCAAACAAACCAGAAACCGGACGAAATTCACTGAGAGAATTCGAAATCACACAGGGTTTTCAAATTTTCATCGACCGCCGGTTCGTAGACGGTAGGAACGCTGCTAAATGATACGTGTTCTCGCAAATAATCTCATAACTCGATAAAAGTAAACGGAATGGATAATACTCGGTAAACAACTAGGGGATTTCTTTCTGTGCACTTACCCTTAATAGGGGGAGAAACGTGTTGCACAGGAACGTACGTCTCGTTTTTCGCATTGGAAATAGCAGGAGTCGGTGGAAAAGTGTATTGCGGGAAAACGGAGGAGAAAATGCTAAGTTCCGTGCTGTTCGAGTTGAAATTCTAAAGTTACGGTTGCGTCTCATGAATCACAAAGGGTACGCGGATATGAAAGTGCAATTGCCCGTTGTCGACTTTTCTTTGCACTTGCGTTCGATGAAAAACACTTGTTCTTTTTTTCTTGTCGTAACAATAGCGTGGGTGGAAGATACGGTTGCACGGATTTACCTTCGATCTCGCGTGTCTTCGTGCAATAGCGATCTCTTTTGCGAATAAGCTGAATTCGAAATTAATCGCGATTCAACACATCGCAGTTCGAATTCGACCGGTCATGTACAATAATTCGAGTACTTTTCAGTCTGTAATCCATTTCGTTCGCTTTTTCATTTTTTCAGCGATTCATTCGGTCTGAATGGAATCAAGTTCGAAATCAGTGTAAAAACATCATTTGTTCCGAAGCCGTCCCGTTGTGAAAATGTCGGGATGTTTGATCGCCGCATGATAGGTGTTGATCGCGGCTTAGGGAAGGAAAGCACATTAACGGAAAAAAGGAAAAAGAACAATCTAGACGCGATTGCGGAGTCCTCTTCGATTAGCTTTTATCCGAGAATGCGAGGAGGAGCAGGAATAACAGGTGAACTGTGCCCGTGACCGGAAGGGGAAGAATTAGCCGAGGAATTTTATCGAGCAAAAACCCGGAGTATCGAGAGAAATATTAAGTGTGTCGACCTGCATTCGGTTTGCGTACGAGTACACTTAAAATTGATAAACCGACATGATCCGATGATTGATATTACCGAAAATGGAGGAACTTCCTCAAAGTTCCGATACTCACCAGCCACGTCCTCCAACGTCGATTTCTCGCCGCAGCTGATAAAATGGGGGTAGAAGGACACCATAACTATACCGTCGGACTGCGCCTGCAAGCAGGAAAGCAAGAAAATAACTCGCTACGTTGTCGACGTTTACAATCGCTCTAAATTCCCGGCGACGAGCGGGGAATCGATGTTGTTACTCACCAAATGTCGTAGCGCATGGTCAGGCACGTTTCGCGAGGAATTGCAAAGGGCGTGGGCGCTACTGTGGCTGAAAATAACGGGTGCCCGCGACGTCTTCATCGCCACCAGCATCGTGGGCACGGAAACGTGCGACAGGTCCACCATCATTCCCAGCCGATTCATCTCGAGGACGATACTCTGCGAAAGTTTGTACAATAATTGAGAATTATTGTCTTTTCAATACGAGTAACTCGACGGATATTTTGGTGCGATCTACTTTCCAGCTTTCTGCGAACAGTTTTAAACCTGGCTATTTTCTGGATGCGGAGACTACTTTTGGAACTGAGTCTCGGATTAACTCAGTCTCGAAGTACCGAGAGATTATTGATGCAAGCGTTAAAATTAAACAGGGAGTCGACAGACCGAATTAGACTTGAATAATATGGAGGAATTTAATGACTGTCGTTTTAAATACGAATGAAGGCTTTGAGGTTATTGCACTTTGAGTGCTAATCACTCCAGAAATAATACACCCTCACAATATCGAAATCACATTGTGCTATAAGAACGTGTCCAGATCACAAAGTGTTGAGGATCAAAGTCGAAGTCACAGCACGCGTCTGACATGTGGCAATCGCACGCGTGGCGATGTAAGACGCGGTAATTCGAGTCGCGCCGAATTAACGGGTGGCGATCAAACTTTCCAAACATTCGAACGCATTACAGTTTGATCGTTTCGTACGAGTTGGCAACGTGTTCACGCATATTCCGCGATGGTTATTACAAACGCTGTTCGATCGGATTGAAATTCACGACATGCCGGTTCCTTTGGACGCTTTGTTCGCGCGGAATTTCAATTCGGGAACGGGAAGACGAGAGATTCGTAGTTTGATGTTTGGCGAGTTTGGGAAATCGTATTACTTTCGGTATTCCACACGCGTTGCCCGCGCGCTGTTTGTTCCGGCACTTTGACAACTTCAGAAATTACGTTTCAAATTCTGTCTAATAACCACGTTCGTGTCTTCCACAGTTCAAGGAAAAAAAGCGAGTCGAGGGGAGGCAAGTTCCAGGAAGATGCAGTATTTCATCGAGATAAGAGATTTCCAATAGGTTCGATCGAGAAAACTGCTGTCACGACCGGAAATATCGTTCTTGGTATCTGACGTCACGCTTTCGAGATACCGTTGCTAATACAAAATTCGATTTCGTAGTTGACGCTTATCATTTGAAGGTGAAACGACCTCTCCTTTGACATTTCTTGTTCTGTCCATTTTTCTAAAGATTCCAATTAAGTCGACTGAAACCTATTCAAAAATTTAACGGGACGGATGTTCACGGCACACAGGGGTGTACCCTGTTTGTCACACCGCTATACAACAGTCGTATTTACCATATAACACGATGTAAGAAAATAGAATAACCGATGTTTCCACGACGGAGCGTATTCTTGACAAATATACAACCATCTCAGTGGAAAACGACGCCTCCGTAGCAAAATTTTATTCTATATTTTCGATTTAAATTTGCATATAGATTCAATACGGAGAAACAGTCTGACGCTTCGCATAGTTGTTCAAAAACCCGACAGCTTCATAAAGGTCGCGGAGTCCTGATTTTCTTCCATTAATCCTAACACGATTCATCATCCAGTTTCGCTGCACTCGTTGTCGGGTAATTGCTCGTACTATTTTTGTCCGCGGTGCTTCGTGTAGCAAATTTCTTGCCGCGAAATGAACCGAAATATCGTCTCTTTTAATTCTTCATCCGGAACCGAGGGTTGTCGCGTGAATGCGTAAAAAGATATTTAAAGGATGAAAAATGAGCGTTTCTTCGTGGAGAAAGTTAGGCGGAGGTCGGTGATTTCGCTTTTCACGATACGCTGGCTAGGCGATTCATTTCTTTCGGGGGCACAAGTCAGACGGCAGATATATTTTTTTCTGGACATTGAAAGAATCCACCCTCGTGAATCCCGGGGTTAAGGTGGCGTAACACCGTGTAGTCCGACAGGATGACGAATAGGGCTTCATTCTTCCGCGGATCCTTTCCAAAGGTACTCACCGTCTCTGCCACGGCCACGCTTTTTTCTGTCGGCTGCTTCGTCACAGAAATTTCGGTTTCCCCCGATAAAGACCACGTCGCAAAAATGGAACGGGTTTCGCTGATCAAAACTCCGTAAAACGGCAGCTGCACAAGTTGCCCATATCGTTTTCTATCGCGCAGTAAAACAGCGAAAATTCGTGCTCCTGATCGGGGAGAATTTCTCTCGGATGAACAGTTATCTCGTTCTAGACGGTCCTGCTCTTGATACTTCTGTTACCGGCTGCTACTGTTATCGTCCAGCAACTTCACCAGCGAAACTGTCGATGCTTGGCCGCCTATTTAGACGAAACTTCGGGAAACAAGCTGGCAGCTGGCCTCAAAAGGGCGGCTGGTCATTTCGTGGAACGCTTTCCAAAACTTATCGGTCAGATGTAGCCAAGTGTTGCAAACTTGACGGTACGTTGTTTCACGACGTACGGATCGCTGCTGCGATCATCGATGTCCTCGATAACGCGCCGGTAAACGTTTCTAATCGAACTGCGCAAACATTTGATCTGAAAATCGGACTAATCCAAATAAAAACGGATCCAAAAATAAATATTTGTCGAGACCAAAGGGGAGAAGAAAAAGGGGTAGAAGTTAATAAAGGTGTTCGAAAGTTTAGCGGCGTTGATGAGATAGTCTATAGATTCTGGGAATTAAGATCAGGGCCGAGGGGAAATGATAATGCAGTTCGTAAAGACTCTTCAGGTGGTAAAGTAATGGCGGGCGCTTAACGCCAGAAACTTCATGAAATTAAAGGAAAGGAGGGGGAAAAACGGGATCAGGAGAGCAATATTAATAACAAGCTCGCGAGCAAGAAATTCCTGATGTACGTTTCTGGCTCGTGTTTTTCGAACGAGTATCTCGAGCGGCTCGTAATTAATGTTTCGAACAGTCTGACAGAATGTTCTCGTTCGAGAAAAAATATCCGTTCATTCTTTAAACGTACACTTCCCTTTTCCTTGCAACGATATTACCCTATTGTCCCGCGAAAGTTTCCGTACTGGAGCACGATAAATCATGTTGCTTCTGTTCTCTTTCTTCTGTTCCATTTACCGGTACGCTGCCGTTCGATTCAGTCGAACTTCTAGCAAGTAATTAATCATTGAAATAAACGATCGATCAGCCTGCAAATATTCCGAGCTGGACCGTATTCATTTTTGTAAGCGTGCCATCTAATTTGCAAACTTGTCGTTTGTCATACAAACTTTAAGACGGTATTAACTCCGCTGACGCTTTTTCTTCTCGTGTAACGTCTTGTTCGGAATCAAAACCTCACCCGTAGTTTATCACCCATTTTTCCTTTCTTATGTTCCTTATATTATTTTCTTTATAATCGACCGAGTAAAAGCCAATTTTAGTTTTAATTTTAAATTACTAGCATGGAGCTCAAATGTTCTCAAATTGATCGCAAAAATTTTCGCGTTGTAATTCGACGAAAGAACATAATTTATTTAATTCCGTCGGAAAAATGAATCGTGTAAGTTTGCGGTGTACGGCGCATGTAAACGGGTTCACAGGAAGCGCAGAGAGCGTACTTGGGAAGGTCCCGAGTGCACTATACTGCCGTGGCATCTTTTCTAATTGTAAGTACCGAACAAGGAGTTTCCTCGGGTCACGGTGCACACATTTGGGAGGTCGGATTAAAGGGAACACAGTTTTCTGTCGTTGTTTGACCGACCGCAATAAGTCACGGCTGTTCCTGCCGAAAAGATCCAAATACCGGTTAAGACACCATCTTTCTCGTTTATTTAATAAAACAGAGATGCCATTTTTTACGAGGGAACAATTTCTTCCCGTGGAAACGTCTGTAACTTACCGGCGTGACTGACTTTTTCTTCATTTTCTGTTTATATAGAACGTGCGACCAATCAAGAAATATGTCCGGGCGCCCACATTTTATGATCTCATATACTTGAGGTCGCTTCATAGCACGGTAACAAACGATATTGTAAAAACCGTTCCTGGAAAATTACATGTTTTACAAAACCCTTTTCACAGTTTTATAGTGGTCACAAAAAATCACGAATTTAATCGAATATGTAGGTCATTCTTTTTCCTTCTATTCTTTCACGCGTTGATTAAAATGAGTAAAAACGTTGAGCTTTAAACAATGATGCAGTAAACTTTTAATGATAGATGCTCAGATTTTCAACACGTTTTGTTTCGAATCTATCATCCTCGTGTAGATACGAGGATACGTATGAAATTGAAAATATGGCACTGGAATTCGTGCCAAGTTACGATAGAGTGCTCTAGGTAGATAGTTACCACAGAAACCAGGAAATCTTCCCCTGATCGTGCTCTCAACAGCTCGCTAGATACATCTGACTCGGTGGTCTCGTTCTAATTGCTCTTCTCGAGTTATGTTTTCTTGAATTTGCCACGACTTCCGACCACCAGGCACCCTCATTGTTTGGGAAGCAACATCTCTCTGGAATTGCTTCCACAGCTTCGTTTGGGCACAGACGAGATGCACTAAATGTCCTCTTTGGAGAAATTCATGTTTGTTCTTACGGGGTGCGAATACTTCTGGGTGGGCCGTTTGCTTGATTAACTGGTAAACCGAGTCATTTTCAACCACAGACGCTCGAAGTATGTTATAAACTGCTTGCCTTCAAGGATTAACCTTCTGACTTAAAATTCGCAGTTTGATCGAATCTTCTTGTCTTAACATTGCAGCAATAATTAGCTCTGACTGAAGAAAAGATAGGTTAAAATGAAGCATAAGAAACTATATGAAACAACGATTGCATAAGGGAAGCACATATCGGCAAAAGAAGGTTGTTTTCCTCAAAGCCCGTACCATTCTTTCGGGGTTGAAGAAGCAGCGTCAGACTCGAATATGGGATTACTCCCACGCCCTTTGAGGGTAGGTAACGCGATAACTGTAAAGGGGAGAGAACAAAAGTACAAATTTTTCAGAATCATAGGGCAGCAGCTTTCTCGGGAATGTTTACCGTCTCCTTTTCCCGTATCCTTTCATGGATATCTTCCCAGTCTCCTTTATTTCCGTCCTTTCCACTTGCATCCTGTCGTTCTTGCTTCCGAAACGTTCACAGCTTCGTTCGCGAAAAAACAGATGGAAAAAGGTAATCGAAGTGGAAGCGTCTGAACACCTGTCCGAGCTCAAAGCTATCGAATCATTGAACGAAATACACTTTCGAAATTCCGTCAACGAGATAACTTGTATGATCGTCGTGGAGATAATTCGGTATAGTATTGCTTAACAAATATTCTGCGAAATGTTTCAACAGCGGTGAAAAGAACTGAGACGGTTAACGAGGGGTTGAGTCGTCAAAAGAAGTTCGCGAAAGGAACAAGTGACTTTTAAAACGATCCAAAATGACGGCTCCGTGGAACCGTTTCCGGCGGATACCGAAAAAGGAGCGAAATAACTGAAAAGTGTTAGGAAAGCCTAACAGAGAGGGATAAGCTCGCTGGAAGTTTTAGCAGGATTAGCTTTGTTCCATATCACCCCCTGGAACCCCTACGTTGTCATTGAAGATAAAAGTCGTTCGTATGAACGTATTAAGCACGCTTTGCATGAATTCCCTCGGTATATAACGTGTCTAGCCCCGAGAAGAATCAGCTCTTTTTCCGCTTAGTCTCATCTGCGCGCAGAGCCGCTTTATATATACGATCATCCACTTTACTTTTATATCTTCATTCGGTGGCTATATCATTTCTCAGCCACACCTGTGTGTAATAAACAGCTACCTCAAGTGGTCAATAAAAATTCCACCCAGTCCGTCGGAGGAGGTAGAGATATCATCTTATTACGTCCCTTTTCGTTTTTTCCCCTTTTCACAACGGGGAGGGTCGTTGGAAATCGTAATTATACGACAGGTTATACAACGAGCGATTCAACTTGTGGCACGACTTAAAAATAAATTTAGATCATCAAAGTGTTAAGAGAGGTTCTTGACCGATTATTAAGATTTTGAGGAAAAGAAGTTGAACTTCTAAGCGATTTTTCAAAATTCAAAGATCGCTTGAGTTACGAGTGTACTCGCTTAACGTGTCATATTTACCGAAGGCCGAAAAACGGCAGACAGCCCCTGGAGGGATGCTTTCCAAGGGAGGATGTATGAGAAACGACTTTGGGACTCTGACCGCGATATAAACCAGAATGCCCCATGGGTGAAAGACTAGGATAAAATATTACCGCCGTGTTAAGCGGTGTGTTCCGGTTTAACCTTAATCCCTCTACCGATCTCCTGTTCGGTCAATTTCCCAGCGATCTAATTATTTTCGTCGAGCAGGGTGTTTCATGGCGCGAAAACATGGCCGCGTGAAAAAACGAATGCGCAAAATAATAACGAGCGATGGTCGCGAGTTACGAAGGTGTATCGTGTCAGGTAGTTACAGCAATTTCTTTCTACGTAATTGCCGCGACAGAAGCTGACGTTCCTCCAGGGCGTCTCTCGGAGGAGAAAAAGATAAGGAGAAGGATGAAATAGAGCGGCGGTATGGAAAAAACGAAATGTATGAGAAACGAGTTGGAAGCTATAGTCCCTGGGCTCGGAGGAAAAGTTGCACGGTCGGAACGAAGAAAACAGAAGATAAAAGGAAAGAGCAACGTTTAAATATTCAACGAAGACCGTTTACGCTTTTCTTGCGATTGCTTTAGCTCGGTTGGAAATCAGCAACCTCGGAACGTTTGTTTCAGTTGCTTGGACGAATCGAAAGCTGCATGCTTCGCTCGATTGTTCCTTTCGAGAACTTCGACCAAGTATCTGGTCCATCTTCGTTGGCTGGTTGTTTAACGAGTTTCAAACCCTTTGCTAGAATTCCTGCAGAACGGTAGCAACTATGTGAATGTAATGATATACCTTTGTAAGACTACGTAACTCGATGTACAACGTATTTTTGTATATTCTGCACGGGTAACGAGACAAAAGAGTCTTTCTTGAGCCAAGAAAAAGTAATTAACGAACATTCGACAAACCCTGCGGAGATCCTCGACTTTTTACCTTTCGCGTCGAGTCAAGAAAATGGTGGTACAAAACCCATTTTAAGTTTCCACGACAAAATTCTGAATGTTTCCCCTGCAATTGTCCTACGCCGTTTCCATTCTTTTCTCCCCGACTTCTCCTTCCGCAACTTTGCCGCATTATCCGTGAAACTTCCTGTCTATTTGCGGGAAGAAAAGAACGAGCCAGTCGAGGCTAACATCGAGTTCTGTATTCACCTGAGACACAACGAATCCCTGTATAGACACAACCCTTTCATGATTACGAACCCGCATATGGGTTCCGATAAAACATCTTCCGTGAACCAAGAAACTCATCCACATACGTGTCGAGATGAAAATGTACGTCGAGGATTATTGACCTACATGCGCGTTGGTCGCACGAATATTGCTATTTTCGAGAATTTTGCAGCTTTATCGGTGACAATACTCTATCTTACATTTAGGAATGTCACTCGAGACGGACGATAATTAACGTCACGTTACACAGCCAGATAATGAAATACAAAGCTGAATATCAAAGTCAGAAATACGTAAAACTTCACGTGATTCATTTTTTTCCAGAACTTCTCTCGCGAATCTGTCTCTTTTGCAATGTTTCATAATCCAGTAGCGAGCTGCACGAAGAGTGACTTCTCGGACAGAAATTATATTCTTCATTTTCAAGTTACATCCTCGCGAGGGTTGACCTCGTTTTATCATAGCACTCCAATTGCTTTCTAGACTCTGTATATTGCGGGTGCGTTACAACGTTACTGTCAAAAAATTATTTTTCATGCATTTTCGAACGTGCACTACAATATGGAAAACGTACGTTCCTCTTCTATTTTTGAAGTGCCACGCACTTTCGGGAATATTGCGCGACTTCTACCACGCTCGGCAAATAAATTGGTTTCCACGTTTTCCCCGAAGCTTCGCGATGTTTGCGTGTTTTTCCTTTTTGATTCCTGATCGAACATGTCCCCGATCGTTGTAAGCTTCGTGTCATTTTAAAAGTGGCAGTTTATCATCTAAAGTATCCCACTTTAAATCGCGAACGATTGTTCTCGCGAGACTGATCGATACGACCCATAATTTTCTCTCCGTACACGTGTAACGTTCGTGTAGAAATTTCCGAACACCGCGACTAGTAATTTGCACGAATTTATTTTACAACGTAATTTTATGGACAATCGTATTTTAAACTTTATCGATACTATTGGAAGGTTTCTACGAGTTTATTGATTTACAGAATTTGTCAGAAAAAGATGCAAATGTTCTAACATTTTTTAGTGTCACTCAGAGTAAAAAAAAACAATTTCCTGAGTTATGGGAAAGTGGGGGAGGGGGGAGAAAGAGAAAATACCAGGAGTGGGAGAAAGATAGGAAATGGGAAATTGAGAATACCGTTGAGTCTTGTATGGTAATATCCTTCTAATGAAGTACCAAGAATGGGGCATCGGTGGGTGAGTGGGTAAGGAGTCGGATCCACGATCCAAGGGATCTCGGATCGAATCCGCCTGTGGGCGAAAAAATCTTTTCCGAAACCGGTAATCGGCTTCCCTCGGATCTTGAGTCGTGGGAAGTAGCTGTAAACAAGTTCCTAAGTTGTGGGAAATGGGGGGAGAGGGGGAAGAAAGAAAGTAGGGTTGGGGGAGAAAGAGAAAATACCGGGAGAAAGATGGGAAATTGAGAATACCGTTGAGTCCTGCATGGTAATATCGTTCTAATGAAGTACCAAGAATGGGGCGTCGTCGGTGGGTGAGTCGGTAAGGTGTCGGATCGAGGATCCGAGGGATCCCGGATCGAATCCGCCTGTGGGCGAAAAATCTTTTTCGAAATCGGCTTCCCCTCTGACTTTGGGGTGTGGCGGGATTATAAGTTGTGGTCGATGAATCACTACGATGGCAAATTACTGTTAAGGGATGAAGGAAACGGGGATTCAGTAACGTAGAAATATTCTTGTCCATTTCACAGCGTAAATGATATTCTGAGATACAACGGTATCTGACGTATATTTTTACAGCAACTGATTTCTCTCTAAAATTCCCATCGAGCATCCCGTATTTATGGCACATCGAACAGATAGGGGCTAAAAGCCACGATGGATTTACGATCTAGTTCGGTTGGAAACGAATGACCGGGAAGGTAGTGTTCATTTTGCCAAACGTAACCATTCGGACAGACAGCTACAGGATGTTTTAATCCACCGTGTAAAACATCGAATTTCCTCGTCACTTCGGAAAATCCTCGTGGTTAGAGAGAACCACGGGTCTTCCGCTTTCGGTCGGACAAAAACCGAGGTAACTTATCTACCTGGAGAGCTGGTAGGAAGTTGTAGTTGCTCGTTTCTTCCTCGGAGCGAGGTAATTCGCGTCAATTAGCGAGAAAGCGGCAGGACTATCGGCTTACGAGCAACCAACTAAATTATCGGGTTAACACTCGCACCTACCATTTAAATGCAGTTTACTTATTAACTTCTGTACGAGGATTTAGGCTATTATACGTAGAGTTCTCTATATCCTTAAATTTCTACGCCTTCAAATTGCTACATTCTGGGACTTCTATAGCCATAAATTTCTACCCTTCAAGAGAGCTTTCTAGACTCTTGTCGCTAAGTCCTCGCATGTGTAGCCTATTATGAAGCAGTGCACGTATGAAAATAATTTCGTAGCACGAGCTGCTCTTCTCAGTAGGATTTGTCGTCGCTGGGATAGCACTGATTGGAGGTATTTGAAGCGTTTTGAAAAGAAAGACAAACGTACTCACCTTGCCGAAATTGGAGAGGCCACCGATGCGAGCCACTTGACCGGGTTCATCCGCTGTGCTGCATTCTGCCCTAACGAACCAATAGGTCAGTAACTCAATGGCAACAATTCTCAGCATTACTGTCGTACAATGCCCTTTAATCATAGAGTTTCATGTCCGTAATACTAAGCAACGCGAGCGGAATTTCTTTGTCGGACTAATGACTGCGGTGATTGCGGTACACCGTGTACAAACGTCTTGATTCGAGCCAGGAACCCCTTTTCATCGTCCACTGTACGTGGACCATTCAAAAAATCCCCGGGAATTGTTTGTTGCTCGTTCAGGTCCACATACGGTGAATGTACAATTGTTTAAGGCCCTTCTAAAATGCGGGAAAACGGTTCTTTCGTTCTCTAACATGGTGCACGATTGTTTAAGAGCTCAGCGTTTACATTTTCATTCGGTTAATACAACTAGCTAACGAATTCCTGGGATTTCTTGAACGCTCCGTTTATCTTTGAACGACCTCATGGGGAATTCGACGATGGAAATGCACGCAGATCATTAGTACGAATGTTAATTCCAGCACCGCAGGATATTCCACTATCTCGACGAATTTGCCGTCAACGATAACGTTGGCGAGGCAGATTCGTAAACATCTCTCACGTTGATAGGATTACGGAGAGGAGACGCGGTAGCCAGTGGACTAGCAACGAGCCTCGAGGAGTCGGACCAATTTCAGGGGTGATAATCGTCCGTATTAGCGCGTGATGGTCTCTAAGCTGGCAAACGGAACGCTAATTCGAAATCAGTACCGATAACTACCAGATAATAATAAATCATTCGAAAGGTCAAACAAACCGTAAATCCACGTATTTTGCTGGTCAACATCGGTATTTAACCCCTTAAGAAAATATTGCTATATCGATCTGCAAGTTATGACAACCCATTGACCGAATAGGAATGCAATTTTGATCCGCTTGAACTGTACGAGGTATAATAATTATTCTACACTACCGATATCGATAGCAACGTGTACCAATTTCGCGGAAGTATGTCGCGCATGTAACATACGAAAAACATGATTCATATCGTAAACCGAACTTCACGAAGTTAACTGGGGCATTGTCCGATCGAGCTACTTCATAGCATAGATATTTATCGGCGTATCGATGTATCTGTCTCAGGGTCGTAAAACGCGCGACCGATACCGGAAATTCCGAAACGCAGATAATATTGTTACGGTTCCATTAATCCGCGCGTAACTCATCGACTTTTGTTTGTTATAAATAAACGACATACGTTTTACCGGAAGTATAAATTTCACAAACTAAAGGGTAACGTTCATCGATCATCGATCGCGATTTCAATTTCAGATCGTATCTCCCTCTGTCGCGAAGGTCTGTGTACAGTCTGTCGTAATTTTGTCACCTGCACTGGGATTTGTACTGATCGCTAATCAGGTTTCGAAACTGAATGTCGGAATTTTAACGCGTAGAGATTCAGCGTGTGATAATACAAGAGGGTACGGGTCACGGTATGTTAATTGACACGAGGTCAGTGCGACAAAAGAACTGAGGATAAAGTCCGAGATTTTTTATCGTCTCCCTATTTTTCTTTCAGCTGTAATGCCGTAACCGATGTCGTATAAAAGGGAATTGTCCTAAAACAAGATTTTGGTCATCCACCAGCTCGCAACCCCTCTTACGTAATCCTAAATTTCTCCCCCGCGATTTCCAGTCTCGCGAAAAAATATCGATGCGTCCTCGATACAGCAGTCTACGAATTTACTCGGTATCGAGGTTCGGCACAGATACGATTTCCTGTTCGTCAGAAATTTCGAAGACCCGCAACTGGGTCGTACGTTTATTCGCAAGTTGCACGGGAGCGAAGAAATTGAATCATTTCTGTGTATGAATAAAAATTAAATTTATCTGGCGGTGGATGTAGTTTCAAAAATTAATTTTCTTCAATTTTTCCAAGGAATGACAGGTGAAATGTTCGTTGCGGAAATTTCACGGCCATATCTCGCTTTTCCCTTCAGCTGCATCATTTATAGTACACTTTTATTATGCAACGATAAAGCTGAGCCGGTGTTATACACTGCGCGATATACTGGCTATCCGTCGTATCTTTATTTCTTCGCTTCCGGTAATGTGTTCTCCTTGTGCATAAAACGTCTTACGATATTTCTTTTGCCAAATCATCGCGAACGAACATGACGATAGCGCATTATGATAAACTGCCAGGCCATTGTTCATGGACGTCTGAATACTCTTCGAATGAATTTCTTAATCTAGGTGAGAGATGAATTGTAAGAAAGATAACATTTTAAAGGAGAGAATTGATTATCCAAATTGTCGAATGATATTCTTATTCGAGTATTTTTTAAGGATAAGTAATATAGAGGTAATATGGATAAATTGTAGAAGTGGAAATACAATGGTATTTTCCGATTAGGTTTTCAGAATATGGTAGGAAGTTAGCATAATTAGCCATTATCTCGATTGGTAAACTCACCAAGGTGTATTGCATGTGTGCGTAAGGGTGAGGTATCTGGCACCCAACTCGTACAACATCCTCAGAACTGCCAGACTAGCTCCAACCGCGTGGCCCCCTTCGACCCCTATCAGGCTCGCCAATCTACCCTCCTTGTGCGCTCTCTCTATACCTGAAATCACACGTTAAATCTCCCTTGAACGTTCTCGATTGTCATTATTGTTATTATCCTAATCATACGTACGATATCGAGCGATCTTCCCGACTACCCTTCTTATCTGAAATTTCCTCAGGTGTCGATCGTTAAACAGACTAGATCTAACGAGCAACGGTACAACGCGTGGCTACATAAAAGAAACGGTGTATCTCTATCGTTCTTGTGGAAAATTAATTAAAGTTATCTGTCACCATCGATCTTTCGTTTAATAGAATCATTTAAAGCAGCCATTGCCAGCGTTTCGAGGAGGGTGAGAAGCGTTATCACGCGGATCATTAATTACGGACCGTAAACGAGGCTCGATTAATCCGGCCACGAAATAATGGAACGCTAGGCTTTCGAAGAACGTTCGGGAAATCCTCCTTGTGGCCGATATTTTGCCAGTATTTAGCCAGCGTGCCGCGAATTCGATTGGCGAGCGTCCGGTTTAATCGTTTTAATCGAACCCAGGTCCGTGTAAAGGTGGTGGCCTTTATCGAGCTCCGTGAAATCGGATTCGCGGGCTCGGTGTCGTTCGGATTCGATTAAAACACCGCGTACAAATTGCGTTAGGTGGCCGTTTCCGGGATACCGATATACGATCGGCGATGCGTGTCGCGCGTATCGAGAGGGTTCAGGCTGGATGTTCGTCGCCGAAACGCCATTTGTCGCGGCAACTTGAACTTTTCCGCTTTCGACCGCACGCGATCGAAGCGCATCGTGCCGGGCTCGCGTTAATGGACGGACGATCCTGCGGCTGCGAGAATTTACTCGCCGGAGCGGCCTTCGAGCGTGTACCGGAGAATTGACCGAGGCCCCTTTACTTCCGCGCGATCTATTAAAACTTTGTCGCGTCTCGTTTCGACGTAATTCGATTTCGATACACGCCAGCCACTTTGCACGGCTCGTGAAATTGTCGTGACACCACCGACTTCGAACACCTGCTACCTCCTGCGACTTCAACCGACATCGGATCGCGATCGATGAAGGATTTATTTATACGCGGCTTCGCGAAGATCAATCGAGTTCTCCCCTGTCGAAGGTATTATCGAAACGAAAAATCGACTTTATCTTCTTCGAAGTTTTCCTTCGAATTCGGAAGTTCAATTTTCTTTGACACTTCTGTTCCGATAGTTTATCGAATCGGAGTTTATATAAAGCTTTGAAAGGACCGTAATTTAAAGCATCTAACCCGAAATCAATTTCGCGGGATTAGACGCAGACGAACTGCAGATGCTCTCGTTTACAATGTTCTCGCACGATTGAATCCGCCGGTGGAAGACCTTCACAGGCTTGTAACGTCAAGCGAACGCGACGGGAAATGGAGGATCTATAAAAGCGATCGGTTCAACGAGATATAAAATGAACCGATACATCGCGTCTGGAATAAAGGGCGCAGCGCGAACAAGATAGATCAGAAATTTCGAGAGAAATGGAAAAACGTTTCGAAACGGTAACGTGCGCGCCGTGGATCGACCGATACCCTCGAAATTCCGAATGTAATCGCCGGCACACGTATCTCGAATACAGCCACACGGATGTTAAGAGGTGTGCACTTGTGGGTGAGCACGAAGGTGGATATAAATCAAGGATCGCAGTAAATCGCGCTCAATCGACAGCGCACGGCTTGCTGGCCGCGTTTCTTTTTCGGTTGTTCTTCCATTTCGGGTTTAATGCAGCGTAATCGGCGACCGGCACGAGAAATTAAAGCCACGGAGAGAAATGGCGCTGGATTTACCAGGGTGCTCGTGCTCCACCGAACAAGAGTATTGTTGCAGCACTGCCTTTTTGCCCTCGGAAAAAATTCTAAAGTTCCTCGAAAATCACTGGGCGAAAGGATTCGATGGTACTCTAAATTTTTACCCGGGACTACTCCCTTTATTTTCTATAATCCCGAATGTTCAAATTAGGGATGTCTGTTTCCGTGTAAATTCGGGTTTTCGGGGGCTGAAAATAGCTTCTTAGGTGGACTTCTTTCGAGTATTCACGGTGACGATGATAATAACGAGTGGTTGGTCCGATTTTTCTAGGAAAGACGGATCAGAGATGTTCGACGGCTGGCGTTCATCCAAGGAAGCTCGTGACGGGCGACGCTGAATGGCCGACCGGAAGCAAACACAAGACGGTAAGTTCGGGACGTTCGTCGACCTCGTTCGTTTCATATCGTACGCGCGTAAATCTCGAGGAACGCGAGGTGGAAAAAGGACGGACGGGTTGTTTTCCGGGCACGTTTTAAGGGAGAAAGAAAGAACGAACTGCTGCAAGTAGGGTGCCATTTATTATCCCCGACGACAACTCGGCAACTACTTGATCGCCCGACGGGACCAGGAATTAATTAAACTCGAACAAGTCGAGCACGAAGAAGATTTCGATACGTTGGATTTTCTTAAAGCAGAAAACTCGAGAAAATTCTTTTTCGCCGGCGCGCTATGCCAACCAGCCTCACCCTGACATTGGCGCTCGGCCAGAAATTCTGCCGGTGTATAACGTCGGACGGCCCATTCTGGGAACAAATAGCGAATGGTAATTCTCGACGTTCGTCGACCTCCAAGCTCGATTTCATATTCTTCGCGTGTGAAACTCGTGCCGTCGGGGCGTCTTCGACATCCTCCTTCGAGCTTTCGTTTTCGGGAACTCGCTGACTATGTATCGTCTGTCGCGAATTCGATGAACCGAACGCGAACGTTTATGCAACCTCTATCGATCAAAACGAGATTTCAAATATTTTTCCACCAGTTAATTCCTCGATGTTGAATTATCTTAACCAAATTAAATTTCCTCCCTGCAATTTCCGCGTACACAGAACTTCAGTTTTTTAAAAATTGATTGAATACGAAATGAAGTCGAACTTCGACGAACGAAAACAACGAATAAATCTACAATAAAAACTGCATTTTAAAGTTAACGGAATTTTATTAGATCTGTATTTCATCGATCATAAAATGGTTTCTCGTTTGTATCGTGCCCGTCGCGGTTCATTGTCCTCGAAGAACCGAATAACGATCACGAAACCTATAAGACTTTCGACCATGATAATTTGCTTCCTTTGATGGCTCACGAACGCGAACGTAATACGAATCCGATGAGAAAATGTCAGATAACTAGGAAGAGGTTGGTTGTAAATTCCAACCGAAATGGAAAAATGTCAAGCCATACCGACCGTTCTACCACGCGTTCGATAAGCCGAACCTCGGCTACTGCATGTCGGCATGCACATGCATAAGTAAATAGACATGCAATACATAGCCGGTGTATACTTCGCTCAAACGTAACAAAACGATTGTTCCAAATTTACAAGCTTTTTTCTGTCGCCGAAAAAAGCTACCATGTGCCTGTTAACTGATTCCCGAAACTGTCGATGTAAAAGTAATGTTCAATCGGTTTGAACAACGATCGATGAACCATTCGGGATATAACTTCAAAGAGTAAAATATTTGTTTAATTTGAAATATTGTTTATCTTCACTGGATTACAAAGCTTTTTTAAATAGAAGACATGAATGTTTTAATAATTGGTCACACGTGATAGGAAGTATAAATGAAGGAGTATAGTTTGTAAAATAGTTTGAAACTCTAAAGACTAATATAATTTCTGTTGGAATGAAGGGGTCTTTAAGGCTGGACGTAGAATCGTGTTTGCGTAGTACAAAGGGTACTTAATTACCGGTTAGCCGTTAACAATTTCTGGTTTAACTTCGAAAGCAGTTTGGCGAATCTATTAAAGAGTGACACGGTTAACTGGAACAACAGAATGTTTCGCCATTGGATTCGCGCGACGGTCAGTTTGCTTAACCTGATAATTTAATGCGAGCTTTCAACCAGTTATCTAATTGTCCGAGCACGGTGTAATGACTGTTTGGTTAGTTGGTACACGAAATTTGTTTACCAACAACCGTGTCGCCGAATCGATACCGTTGTTCGTTCGATCGTACGCAATCTAGCGTTAATCGTTCGCTAACCGATCCGTATCTTTTCACGAGAGAGAGTCGAAAAAAATGGGTCAACCGTTGATGAAAATTCTTTGACGAACGAGACTCGTTCGCTCGAGGCTGAAATCGAATCGCTTTGGCGCGGTGCCGAGAGAGTTTCTAACGCGATTGAAAATTGATCGCAACGAGTCGCGCGTAATGTTTAACCTTATGCGTCGCTCATTTTACCTTTGACCCCGTCAGTTTCGTCGACAAACGTCAGCCGATTCGGTTTCTGTCGCTTCGCAGCTACCGGTTGTTGTGTAAACCGTCGCTCTCTATCGATACAACAACAACGGGGTAGCGAAGCGGAATTCGGAGGGTGACAAAGGGTTCGAATAGAATTGCAAGGGAAATGGCCCACCTTCCGCCGTAGTTACGAGGACCATGCTTTCGGGATGCTTGTTGACCAGCCGACGAATCAGGTCGATTTGCTCCAAAGCCAGCTGCACCGAGTCCAGATGCTGAGACGAGCAAGGCACGTAAGCTGACCAAAACTGCAACACACAAAATTACCTTTCACCCACTCTTATAAATACCATCTAATCATGCTCTAATTAAAGTACCAGAACAAATCATGAAACTATGACTTGTAACGATACGAACGTTAACGTTATCTCGTAGAAAGTCATACACCCCATATCGTTGCAAATAAAAAGCAACGTGTAAAGTAGAAATCGCATTAAGGGAGAATTAGTTAAGCTCGCCGCGAAGCACGCATACTTCGCGTGACCAGGTTCGAAGTAACGAATCGAATCGCGATCATGTAAATTTCGATCGTTAATCGATCTAGGAATTATTCAAGGGTGAACAGGAAATAGTGTTTGGAGTGCGTATCGCGATGCACTACGTTGTAATAGAGTGGCGTAAACGTTTATTTCCCGGTTTCAATTCGCGATCGGATAATACTTTGGAAATAATTAAACGCTGCATTACGAGTCCGAGCGGGAAACTCGCGCCGCTTTGAATTTTAAATGCGGAGGATATCGGTGGCCGTAAATAATGTGGTAGTTTATCCCCACCTACGGCCACGCTGAGCAACGGATAAGAATATATTCGGTTACTTGGAGTAAATTAAACCGATGTATCAGATCCCGGGATTAAACAGGAACCGCGCTATATTTCATTCGGTTTGATAAAGGACCGCGGGAGGGGTTGAACGTGAGCTAGCATAAGAATCCTTCTAAAACGTCCTTTTATCGTTGTTGAGCGTGAAACGGGAAGCACGTCGTTCGATATGATTATCATCGTGACCTCGTGAGACCCGGAAATAAGACCCTTCGATTCTTTATGATAGCGAGACCGTGGACGATAGTGTACGAGAATATGCATATCGGATAGCTTCGAAAGTTCCTAGCTCGAGATAGGTTATTGATTCGATGATACCCTGCGAATGAAACGCTATCCCGACGTCGTGCTAGATTATTTATTTATACACGGGTTAAATTCTTTGAGTCTGAGCATAGAAGCTGCGGAATTTGAACCATGTTCAATATAGAATTCGATTCGCTGTTCGTGCTATTAACGGGAAGGAAATATTTGCGAAATTTTGCCTACAAATCGTCGGACTCTGCGGGAGGCAATTGCAACGTCGGTAAAGCGTTTGGAATATTTTCCTTATGGATACGGTTCACCGAAATCCTCCATTAATTTTAATAAACCGACCCGTGGAAGCTTTAGAATTCTCATTTTAATACGTATTTCAGTATCAATGCGTCTACAGATTTCCCGATAGAGCATCGCGCTAAGCGGGATAGGATATTCGTCCTTCGGAATACTTAAACTCGAATGTCTCTAATAATTCTAGGATACCTCGCAAAACTCGTTTTCCCGGCCGATATTAACATTTTAAATGCCTCCATGGAGATGAAAGTATACACTGCACGCTACGATGATTATCATTCCGAATATCGTTCCATTTTGCAATTTAAACTTTCCTCTTGATACCTTATCAAATTAATACAGCGGTAATATTAGGCAAAAGTTGCGTTCAGTTATTTGATCGTATCGTGTTTGCAGTTCCGCTATACGATTATATTCGGTGCGTTGACGTATAACGTGTAGATATCTAACGCGTAACCGTACGGTACCGATAGCACTCAACGTATTAACAAACTCCATTCTCATTCGAAACACGCCAGGACGCGAACAAACATTCGCGAATAAAATGCATTCCAGGTGCACGACAATGTCATCGGAGTGTTATAAATCAGCGTGATTCCGCATTTTATTTTATTTTCTTCTTTCGTGCCATTAAACCCGACAGTTTCACCCTGTGATTCGCACTTCTCTTCGTTACGCTTCTACGACTGCATCAGATTTCCCGACAGGATCTTTACGACCGCGATTTGCTTCTCTCGTTGCGGTGATTAACAGCAGTTGAATAGCTTGCTTTTTGCCCGTGGCTAATTGCAACACGGCAATAATTTAATCGTCTGACGGTGAAACTTTCAACGCAAACGACCTCATCCAGCAACTTTTGATTCCCCGTTAACGCGATCGTTTCCCTGTTTCGTCACGGTTATTACGACAAGCAATTACAACCCCGAGAAGAATTTATTCTTAATTTAACTCTCGGCTTCGCTAAAGACGACCGGAGAAGACAAAGGGAGATGTACGAACATCGTTTTAAAACGCGTGTTTTCAATTATTTACATCGCTTTTGATCGTTCCTCGCGACGATTTAACGTACGAATTTACATACAAACCGTTCGCCGGAAGGTTCATTCAAATGTCGCTGGTCTTGTTTAAAATTCAACACAGTCGGAATTTTAGGTCAGACGTTTAATAAAAACCCTCTCTTCCATGGTAAAAGCTTTCCTTTTCCTTTCGGCCTCTTTCTTTTTCTGTCTTTCCGTCCTTTTACCGTGGGTGTTTCGCGCAAAATCGAGCAACAGTCAGGGTCGAGTTTCAGGTCAGACGTTCGCACAAGTATTCACCACCGTCTACCAAGTGTAATCGCGTTGAGTCGTCCCACTTTGCACTCGTTAGAATTTTAACCTTGTATAACGAAACTGTTACGTTTACTTTCCGGACAGAAATAAGCTTTTTCCTTTACAAACTTCTACTAATCTTCCTAGAAACATTTAAACGAAATATGTTACACTATTTATCAATTATGTTAACCTCCAACATCACCCGACAAAAGTTTCACGAAACGCAGAAAACGTTAACACGATTCTTTCTACGTTGCCAAGAATCGTCTTTCAAAACGTCGTGTCAATTTTCACCACTTTTCGCTATTAAATTATGAAGCGACAAGTCGTTCAGACACCGCGCTATCCATAATCTTCTGTTCTCGCCCGACACGTGCATTCTCCTCGCCGTACGCTTTTATCGCGGAAGATACACAATTCCCCAAAGATCGAACGTTCCGAATGGTACACACTCGAGTTATTTCGAACCGCTTGGAATTCACTTTTGGAATGCAGTCGCTGGGAAGCACGACCGATTGCTTGGGGAGGGGTAGATGTATGTAGCCTCCCCCTCGGCTACTACGATCGAAAATGCATGCACGTTGCTCTACATTTTCGATGCATTAGTGTACGCACCCATTCTGCTCGACTGCGCTTAATCCCACGTGCATCTCCGCCAAAAATCATCACGAAAATGTATTCCAAAAGTTATCGTATTACAGTGCACCTAGAAACTCTCATTTAATTTTAACCCGTAGTGTAAACTTCGCGAACTTCTCGTTTACTTCCAAGTAGACTGAAGCTAATGTACATGTATGTGTAAAAATGTATATGTACATGTTAATGTACATGTATGTATAAAAATGCATATGTATATGTTAATGTACATGCATGTATAAAAATGCATATGCATATGTTAACGTACATGTATGTATAAAAATGTATATGCATATGTTAATGTACATGTATGTATAAAAATGCATATGTACATGTTAATGTACATGTATGTATAAAAACGTATATGTACATGTTAATGTACATGTAGGTACAAAAATGTATATGCACATGTTAATGTACATGCATGTATAAAAGCGTATATGTATATGTTAATGTACATGCATGTATAAAAATGCATATGCATATGTTAACGTACATGTATGTATAAAAATGTATATGCATATGTTAACGTACATGTACGTACAAAAATGTCTACATATATGTTAATGTACATGCATGTATAAAAATGTACATGTACATGTTACTCTATATATATAAAAAAGTATATGCATATGTTAATGTACACACATAAAAAATGTGTCTAAAAAAAATGTCTGAAAACAAGCTTTACAAGCAGTGTAAATGAACGTAACAATTTTATTAATAATAATTGAATGTCTCAAGAAAAATGTATGGATCAGTGGATGTTCAGACGAGTTTCTTTCTGTAACGGAGTAAATAAAGTATAAATAGTAGGGTAGGAAAGTGTAGACGTGAAAGGGTGGATTGGATCTTTTAAATCTACCGAGATGGTTGGCACGAGATCAATGCTGGGTAACCTTTTCGCGACGGATGTCTTCTCTCCGTTTGAATTAACCAGGACAGTGATGGATCGAGTCCCGGACCAGTTTACCCGGATCCTGTATACACTTGCTGTTTGTATATTATGCATACATGCATACACGTGGCGTTCGTCTCGGTGGACACAACGGCGAGGCTAGTCACCCCTTTCGTCTCTGCGAGCAAACTGAATACCATGAGGAACACGCTGACGTTGAGAAATGACCCATAAAATTAGACGAATGTCCCGCGTTTGTTCGCGTTTTAAACAAACGCTTGACGTTCGATAATAAGTCCGATCGTTCTGCTCGATCGAGCTGACGTTCGCGATGTACACTTGTCTCTATTTTATTTGCAAATGCGTTGTTTATTTGTACATATCGAGTTGTTTGATTAATGCAGAGAATTACTACATCAACAATGTTGCAACAATAAAATTACAATATTTATGAGTCGAAGTTTATACTCGCCAGAGTTTGCCAAACATTTCGCCGGTATTTAAATGAACTTTTATAAACTGATAAATTTTGATATCCCAAAGTTCGTGGTAGGTTTCGGGAGTTTCGATCAATTATTTAAAATCACGGTCCATATATTAAATTTCATCAAATGCCGATAGAAACTTTTCAATTTATAATGAAAATTATTGCTCGAATACTTAGTTTGCCTTCGTCAAGAGTGTTTACAGCAAAGTGGCTAAAGTTCCTCCCAAGTTCGATTACTCGAACTAATTCAAATTTATGCAAATTTCAGAGGTCTATTATCGAGTGAAAGTTTGTTTAAATATCGGTGGAGTACTTAGAGAACGAACAGGTGTAAACAAAAAGAAAATTCATCGATAAATGTGGGTAAAGAATCCTTTATTCATGGAACCGTGTAATTGCTCCAAGACCGTGCGTGTTTCTTGTTTCCCGAAACGCTGCCCGTGGATTTCCCTGGTAATTCATGGTGACGGTGGTTGCAGGCATTTCACGTAATTAGTATTCCCTCTTAATTATGGTATTAATTAAATTGGACCGCTCGTGGCCGTGGTGCTAGCGCGTATGCGGCCCCGTAAGAACCTTATTTGAATTTTACCCTTGGCACGGTGACACCTTGGCATTATCACGGGGGAGAGAGTAGTAACGAAGTTGCTAGCCTCCTCGAGCGGAACAAGCTCGCTTCAACGTTCGCCTCGCTAGGCTGACTTTTCGAACTCGTCTACTATAACCCCCTTTATCATGTGCCGTCTGTTAGGCCATAATCGCATCTAGAGCTTCTAATAAATGGGATCAACGACGGAGGGAATGTTTTACTAACAAGCGAGATGCAGCTACCTTCCGAGGTCTCCGAGGGTGAATTTCTTCGGGACACGATCCCCGTGGATTTCGTCAGTATATTCACTTGTACTCGTCGCCTAGAGAAAGCACACAGATGTTACTCCATCCGATGGAATTCCATTTCTGACGTCTTAAAGTTAAACCCCCTTTAGATAAAACGGAACTACCACCGGCTTCTGTGGATCGTGTGGGGAATAGAGATGACAAGCGGCCGCGCCACCTCTCTGTTTCCCTTTCGAAGCGATCATATTTGATGCTCATCCGAAGGGACGTTCAATTTCGATCGATAGAAATTTGCTGGATGGGGATTTCAACTTCATTTCAACTTACTTTCTTTCCCGATTCAATTTCTGGTAATCGGAATTTTTTATCACCGTGTTTCTATATTCTCCGCAGATTTCTCTAGTTAACCCCTAGCATTTTGACGAGTCAGACGCACTCGTACTTCGGCCGTGATCAATTCTACTCGAATTTTTAGTATGCTCCAATTTGAAGTCCAATTATAATTTGCATAGTCAACGTTTGCATAATATCATATTGACATTCCACATTTTTTTGTCCGTATTAATATTGTAGCTCTAATTAGTTCTGACTGACAAATAAGCCATAGCAAGGGGTTAAAAAGTTTTCATCAGTCTATTATTGTTACTACGTCATATACAGCAAGAATTCGAACTGATCTAAATAAGTAGATCAAAGTTAAAAGTATAGAGAACAAATGAATGTTGTTCGTTTCGAAGATTTGTAGCTTTAATGACCCCATATTTCCTCTTAATCGGACAAGCTTGCACACAGTACTTCACGATCACTGCACCGCCGCGCGATAACCACGAATTTCGCCCCGAAAGCAATTTCACAGGTAGCAAGTTTCATTGTAACGTATGCGTGACGCAACAAGACGAGACACGTTTGCCCAAGAAAGCCACGGACCAGCTTTTAATACCGACACCAAGGAGAATTATAATGTACGTTTATACGCGATATTGCTTAGCAGCACGCTTCTTTCGACCTTGTTTCTTTGAATATGATTATACAGAAACGGTGTCAGCTTAAAACGTTGTCGTAGGAACGTATATTCATGAAAATTAAGCTTTTAGTATGCGCGAAATTCTTTTAGGTGTTGGCTCTTTCAGTGCAAGATGCGGTCTGCAAACCGCGTTGAAAAGAGTTCTCGTAAAATTTCTCCGGTGGAAAAAACTGGACTAAAATTATACTAGTTTGGACGTTCGAATGAGAAAATCAATATCTGGCTGATGTAACTAGTCTATGTATGCTCAAGAATCACCGAGGTAAGATAAATCGCGATCGCGATGGATGTTAATCCTGATAATGAGTTTGCTCGAGTTTTAGCGTGAAATTGTTGGATTAAAGTTCGACTTACTTTGGATAGTTGCTGTCGGGGGTAAGGAATCGTTTGTCGCTAGATTTACTCGATTAGTTGGTTGCTCATTTTCCAAAGTTGTTACGATCAAGAGATTTCTGGGTCAATTGTAACGCTATCTATATTCAGCGGCTCTATTTGATTAATCGCATTGAGAGGACGATCAGAAAATTACTCGTACTCGAAATTCAATTATATTGGAACACTCGAGTATTCTTGGAGTAGCGTTGACTTATTTCATTTTCAAATTTCTAAATTGATAAGTATTTTTATATTTTCAAATTTCTAAATCCCAAGATTTCTGAATTCCTAGATCCCCAAATTCATGGCCCAAATCTTCAGACCTCCGATCGCGTATTTCCATATTATAGACGAAGAGTTCGAAAGCCAGATTTTCTCTTGACTCGCGCAAAATATTCAGAGTTCATAGTTTCGTATCAGGCGGAATAAAATGAAATCGTTTAACTTCGACGGTCACCAGTCTCTTCCTATTTCCATTTTCCCGACACATTCACGAAGGAGGAAAAGTCCCAATCGTGATTTTTCGAGTAGCTCCCGAGCCAAAGCTACGGAAGAAAGGATTTATTCGATTGCCGAACGGGAAATGTAGTAGCTAGTCTTTTGGTTCACGAGGGCACGTTCGTCCCGGTGGTACGTGAACTTTTTGGTGCAAGCTTTTCATCGGCTCTGCCCGCGAAGCGTTCTTTCTTGCCACGCTGAATGGCGGTCGATCGGAAACATCGAGAGTTCCGCGCAAGTTTTTCCCCATCGCGGAAGTTGCGCGGAAACGGAAGTCTGAGATTAATCGGGAGGGTATCGAGGTGAACGACCAGCGCACGGAAGAGTCTACGGGAAATTTTCGAGGGAAAAATCGCGAGAAATTAACACTCGTTGCCGCGTCTTCTTCACTCGGCAATCGGTTTTCTCCTTCATTTTCTCCGTTAACTTTTGCACGCAATTAAAGACTTACTTCTCTATACATTTCCTGCGCAACCGGAAAAAAGTTTTAATTACAAAATACAAAGGCAAGCTCGTTAACCATAAAATACGCTATTCATTCGTGTTTCGCAAAATGCAAACTTTCTTAGCGTATTATTTTATACAATGTATTTACAACAACGGATTAAATGAAAGACGCAAAAGAATGAATTGAAAGTCTTGAAAAGAACGTATGGAACAATCAAGGTTTTATTTTTTAATGAGAAAATGTTATATTCGTAAGCTGTAGACGGGAAGACACGCGTGCAAGTGTCAATTACGGAAGCCGTTCGAGGGTTGATTGGTTCTTCTGTTAGTTAATTGAATCGATTCGCGTTCGCGTGCCTCGTCGAATTAATCATAACAGCAACGAGACGACGAGCAAAAAACGAACAGACTTTTTCTGTTTCTTCGCGTCGTTCTTAATTAATCGAGACCTCGGAAACCACCGTGACGCCGAGGGTATATAATTGAAACACCATTATACAAAGAGTCGACCGTGGCACGCGATCCTCGCGTTTGCGCTCGCGTTTCGTCCAAGTAATTGCGCGAACTTTAAATACCGAAGAAAGCAATTTTTACGTTCGAATCACGGTTCCTAGACGACCGAAGACGACACGCGATTTCTTTTCGTTTAGCCGACTTGCATTTTCTTCGCTCGGAAATCGCGTGCTCAACCATCCTCTATTCGAGGCCTCCTTAAGCCGGATTTTCACGGTTCATTCCAGATTTCCCGGCTTATAGTCTGTCCGGTAAAGTAATCAACTGTTTGACGTTTTATTAGGTTTGGTGTTATTAGCGATATTATTAAAATATTTCTTGTCTTGTTATTTCTTTGTGTTTTACAAGTTGAGAATAATTGTAAAACCTCTGCCTTAAATTTAATGATATTGGGCTTTGCACTATTTATGAACAAGAAGCAACTTCTAAAAAATAGCACTGATTCACGGATGAACCTCGAGTTTCGAAATATGACTATTTTAACAGAGAGTCCAATACTGCAGCCAGGTACTTTGGACGATTTATAATTATTTGGTGTCGAAAGCGTTATGTCGATGAAATTCATATCGGTAAAGGGGTTGTGACGCTCGAATTCGAGAGCAACTTACGAATCGATCAAAAATGTAAAAATACTTGAGCAAGTGGAGCTCGCCACTCGACTCGAAAAGGTTAAAACTCGATGCTCTCGAATCAACTATCGCCAATTGATTCGCGAATGTGAAACAAGAACGATACGAGAGCCTTCCCGAAGTCATTTGAATATGTATTGTTATTCGATTTCCTGAATTTAGGACTGTAATTTACATCACGAACTATTTTGAACTGTCAGAAAAATAAATGAACAATTATCAGTGTCCACGATAAGACGTTCAGAATTCGGCACTGAAGTCCTGTAAAATGTATCTTCCGTCTTGCAAGATTCTTTGAGATTAATGTGTTTCGTTGAAGTGCAGTGTTATTGCAGTTATTACTGAACTCACCTGAGCTGCAACCATGCCCTCTTTCAATCTTCTGAGATCCGTGTGGCTCCAGGCGCTCCGTGACCAAGGATGGGTGTCCCTGAGGTCATCAAACCTGAATTCCCTTAGCTGATTCTTCAGGAACTTGCGTATGTTCCACGGGAGATCGTTGTGCCTGAAGCAAAAGAAAGAACCATCTATAATTCAATCTTTCATACTGCATTTCGACGCGTTTTATTATACACGCTGCATCCCGTTGCTTCGTCACATGGTATTTCATACTTTAGATTTGTATGCATCTTGCGTTGGAACGCATTAGATCTCCACGCGTAGAATTTCCACGCGCCAAATTTCCTCGCGTTATATCGCCACGCGTGGAATTTCTACGCGCCAGATTTCCACGCGTTATATCGCCACGCGTAGAGTTCCTACGCGCCAGATTTCCACGCATTAGATCTCCACGCGTAAAATTTCCACGCGCCAAATTTCCTCGCGTTATATCACCACGCTTGGAATTTCTACGCGCCAAATTTCCTCGCGTTATATCGCCACGCGTGGAATTTCTACGCGCCAAATTTGTACGCGTTATATCTCCACGCGCCAGATTTCGACGCATTAGATCTCCACGCGTAGAATTTTCACGCGCCAAATTTCCTCGCGTTATATCGCCACGCGTGGAATTTCTACGCGCCAGATTTCCACGCGTTATATCGCCACGCGTAGAATTCCTACGCGCCAAATTTGCACGCGTTATATCTCCACGCATAGAATTTCCAAGCGTAGAATTCGCACGCGCCGAATTTCCACGCGTTATATCGCCACGCGCTAGTTCCATACATCACAGATTTCCAAGCGTTAAATTTCCACGCGTTAAACCGCCACGCGTTAGATCTCTACACCACAGCCTTCCACTCGCTAAATTCCTACATTCCAAATGTCTATGCTTTGTATCGCCCCACACTAAATCTCCACACACCAAAATACCAAGCGATAGATTTCTACACCGTAAAGTCCTAGACATAGCACTTCTACTCATTACATCCGTACACCTAATTGTCACGCACCGCATTCTACATGTCAGAATTACACGCGCTGCACGCATTGTCGCCACGCGTCGTAACGGGAGAAAGGTGTATCACGAAATGTGTTTGAACATGTTGTAGAGAATCGCGTTTCACGAAACACGACACGATACTGCGAAATAGTCCAATTTCGAGTGGCAAGCAGTGGATCGTAGATGCAAGAAGCCATGTTCTGTCGAGCAAGCGGATAGAACGAGAGTTGTATATAGGAGCAGGGAGAAGCGAACAAAGTTTACCTCTTACAATAGCATTAGCCGACGTACAAGTTCTGCGGTGGGTTCGGTTACTTCGCCTCCGGCTACGTTCAACTTATTTCATCTGAAATCCTTGATTTATTTCGAGGGATTTGTAGGGGAGGAACGTTGGTCAAACACTGTCGGTTGCATCGAAATAGACGTCAACATCGCGAATGGAATTCGTAGGATGTGTAAATCGTACGTTGTTTGTCGCGTATCCCCAGGCAAAACCATTGGAAATATAAATATTAATCTTTTCGATGTTTTTGTTTGCTCTCTGCATGATTCACTAGATCTATTCCGTGTGCATCGAACCTTTCTTCGCTGGTTTCCAAAGGATTTATTCGAAACGATCCGGTTGGTTAGGTGCTAATTAATTTTAGACCCTCGATGAAAGTTCTGTACAATCGTGGAACAACTTACAGGCGTTTTAATATCTCAAACGCGCCCCTTGCGAACTCGTAATTTATTACATCTCATTTTCTTGTTTTCATAACTTCTGTCAACCACTCACTGAACCAGTCGTTTCATTAACCAGCTCCCGATGTTACAACGCGCGTTTCCCTGAACTTGTCTCGGAGAAAGGATCAACGAAAAGCACGGGACATCATGAAAACAATCTTATCCTAACCCGAGAGCTACCCTCGTTACAGCGACGAAGACAACGTCGACGAAACACGAGCAAACTTTACATCTTGGGGTTGTACGACATCTACCCGGCTTCGAATCCGTCCTGTTAACCTCCTCGTTTCGCGTTAATTCACTTAGTCGGATGTAGTTTCGTATAACCAGCTATCTGATCTCCGGTTACAATCGATGTAACGCGTCCGTTTCAACGTTTAAGACGCCGTTTAAAGCCGGGGAGGCTCGCGTGCGTTATCTCATAACAATTTAACGGAGGAACGTGTTCATTTAAAAGCGGAGCGTGGCCTTCTGGCGCGTTAAGCTTTAATTAAACGTCAAAGTAAACAAGAAAATTTCGAACGAACGAGCAGACGGAAAAAGAGAAGCTTTCGGTAAAAGAGGAGGGCAGGAAAGCCTGAAATGACTGTAATTACGGGGTAGAGGCGTGCCTCCTTCGGAAGCTATATTCCATTAAGGCGTCGTATTATGGCTAGGGTAATTCTAAGCACGCGTTGCATTCCTAAGCTGACGCGTGCGAATTAACTCTCGTTTCTTAATCGATGAGGAGTCTCTTCGAGATGAAACTATTTGAATAATATCGATGGTAATTGAATTTTGTGGCGATAAAAATATGATCAACTTGGTCCTCTTTTATTTTGGAAGCAAAAAGACTTTGTCGTACCCTAATATTTATTATCATACCTCAACGTAAAGTTTCGATAAATAAGTTTCAATTTTTTCCTTTTAAATAGAAATTTTGATTACACGAAAGAGTTATTTCCCGTGTTGTTATTTTTGCGATCGATCCAGAGGATATGTTGATACGGCGATTTGTTCCGTTCCGGCTGAACTCTGCGAATTCTTCGCTCGATAGTGGCGGGGTAATTGTCAAAATCCGTTGGGAAAATATTCGACGAATTTTAGGCGAGTTCGCAGAAAATAGAATGGCCATGACACAAAGGAATTTTGATGCATGACGGGGCCAGTGAATGGAGCTATGCGGAGAGAAAAGAGAAAGAGGGAGAGAGAGAGGGTGAATGCGTGCGTATTGTTACCCCCAACAAATCTGACCTGAATCAGAGATGGATCTCCGGACCGTTTGCCACCACGAACCGCACCACACGGTGGCTGAATGCACTTTGAACGTGCCACGAGAGGGGAATTTAACTTCGAACGGAATTAGGTAACCAAACGAGCAACACTATCCTCAAGCTTTCCTCCATACTTGCCGAGCGATAACACGAACGAAAGTTTGCAGGGATCAAAACTCAACCCCTAAACATTTTCACCGATTAAGGGCGTTAATCTCTTCGTCTACGTTAACTTTCTAACGCCTCCCACTTTGCGTTTTACGTTTGTTCATTTACACGGAGATTACTACCAAACTGTCCTAATAGCATCTTATATTTTAAAGCATCTGGGGCATAGGGTTCTTCAGAATTATGTCTTCGGGACAATCTTGGTATTCAAAGGGTAGGAATCTTCAAATATAGAGATGCGGAGGATGAAGAGAAGGTCATAGGGATCTGAGGATAGTAACACGAGAATCTGGAATATCAACACGTGGAAGTATCTGTAGAACTCGTGTATTTGGAAATCGAGGATGTAGAGATTTGGAGAACTGTAGAAAGATACTCCAATAATCAGAGAATGTAGAAACTTTGAAACCTAAAAATTTGAAAACGTAGAAATCTAAAGACCCAGAGATCTAACTTAACAATACACGAACCTAGAAAGTAGAAGTCTACGAATGTACAGATGAGCATCCCATCGGCTACTTTCATGGAAGATTTTGATCGCCTAGGTTGCTATTTACCAGCCTTCTTTCCAGGCGGACAGGTCCGAATGATAATTGGATTTTCAGGCCGAGTTCCTTCGTGCAGGACGGTTGATCCTGTCGGCACTGATTCCGCTCGGGTTCTTTGACTTCTGGCCGGTCAGGAGGCGATAATATGAACGATTCAATTAACGATCGGAATAGGAAGCGGTAACAATTACCGGAATCAATAAGCGTTAGGGCTTTTGGACGTATGATAGCGTTCGTACGTGAGACCGCATGCGGAACTGAATTGGAACGATTCTCTTATCACGTTCGAGTCTTGCCTCTGGATACGTGCAAACTAAATAGTGCTAAAGTGTTCTCAGTTGGGAACTGCATGGTGGGAATTGCTCGAACATTGACACGTCGAGGCTAGTTACATGTGTTCCTATGTACATTGTTGTTCAAAAGTTCGGAACATCGTGTACTTTGAGTACGTTATTGGTATGCCTTGCCCATTAGTCGGTCACAGTAGGGAATATTACGGGGAAAATAATGGGAAATTTGATAGAAGCGACGCTTGTTTGCGAAATTGTGAACGCACAGTTTTTGATTGGTCAATTTAGTCGTTCAATTTCCGACCATTATTAATACAATATTTCTCGAAAAGCAATTTTCGAAAAATTCGCAATATGCGATTCACGCGTCTATCATTTTTCACCAAACGTCCAGTAATTAACCGTAGATGATGGTGTCCCAAAATTCCTTCGATATTTTTAACCGAAAAATCAATTATCGACTATCGATGTAATATCTCCATACTTCATAACCGATTGTCATTCGGTTTTAGTTTTTGATGGAACAAATTTTTCAGGAGACCATATAACTCTTCCCGGCAATAAAATTTGAATAACAGGGGAACGCGTATGTATACGTTCAGCAACACTGCCACAGTTTGTTCGCTGACATTTTCATCGTAAAATGACTATATTATCTGAAAAGTGATTCGATAAAGCGTCAATGTATTTTATATCGAATTTTCATGAACTGCAAACAAAAATTGTGTTGGACATCGATGAAGCAGAATTATGTTACGTTTAATCGTGCATCGTGTTCGATAATCAAAAATACTAGCGAAAAAAGTAAATCGAACAAAGGCGTTTAATAAAAATCGTTTCCGAATTCCAACGAGGGTCATCCGTTTCCACCGGCAAAAATGATCTCTTAAAATGACCGTTAACGATACAGGGAAGTGTTCTGGCCGATTGGCTGACAGCCAGAGCCGTGTTTGCACCCATCGATAACGAAGTGCCGTAAAAATTCCACCGCTTATTGGTCATAGCCGAATTATTCTTCCTCTTCTTTTTCTCTCCGCTGCAAATTTCATCGATCGCCCCGTACACGTTGCGAAAGCCAAAAAAAAGAGCGGAACAGTTTCGGGCTGATCTCGTTTCTTCTCGTTTTACCGTTCCCC